TACACACACTACACACACTACACACACACTACACACACTACACACACTATACACACTACACACACTATACACACACACACACACTACACACTACACACACTACACTACACACACTACACACACTATACACACACTACACACACTACACACACACACACACTACACACACTACACACACTACACACACTACACACACACACACACACACACTACACACACTACACACACTACACACACTATACACACACACTACACACTACACACACTACACACACTACACACACTACACACACTACACACACTACACACACTACACACACTATACACACACTATACACACACTACACACACACACTACACACACACACACACTACACACACTACACACACTATACACACACACACACTATACACACTATACACACACTACACACACTACACACACTACACACACTACACACTACACACACACACACTACACACACACTACACACACACTACACACACACACACTACACACACTACACACACACACACACTACACACACACACACACTACACACTACACACACTATACACACACTATACACACACACACACACATACACACACACACACACTACACACACTACTACTACACACACACACACACTATACACACACTACACACACACACACACTACACACACTACACACACTACTACACACACTACACACACTACACACACTACACACTACACACACACACACACACTACACACACTACACACACTACACACTACACACACTATACACACACACACACTACACACTACACACACTACACACACTACACACACTACACACACACTATACACACACTACACACACTACACACACTATACACACACTACACACACACACACACTACACACACTACACACACTACACACACACTACACACTACACACACTACACACACTATACACACACTATACACACACTACACACACTACACACACTACACACACTACACACACTATACACACACTATACACACACTATACACACACTATACACACACTACACACACTACACACACTATACACACACTACACACTACACACACACACACTATACACACACACACTATACACACACTATACACACACTATACACACTATACACACACTACACACTACACACACTACACACACTACACACACTATACACACACTATACACACACTATACACACACACACACTATACACACACTATACACACACTATACACACACACTATACACACACTATACACACACTATACACACACTACACACTACACACACACACACACACACTATACACACTATACACACACTATACACACACACACACTATACACACTACACACACTATACACACACTATACACACACTATACACACACACACTATACACACACTACACACACTACACACACTACACACACACACACTATACACACACTATACACACACACACACACACACACTATACACACACTATACACACTACACACACACACACTACACACACTATACACACTATACACACACTACACACACTACACACACTACACACACTACACACACTATACACACTACACACACACACACTACACACACTACTACACACACTATACACACTACACACACTATACACACACTACACACACTACACACACTATACACACACTACACACACTACACACACTACACACACTATACACACACACTATACACACACTACACGCACTACACACACACTACACACACTATACACACACTATACACACTATACACACACTACACGCACTACACACACACTATACACACTACACACACACTACACACACTATACACACACTATACACACTATACACACACACTACACACACTATACACACACTACACACACTATACACACACACACACACTACACACACTATACACACACTATACACACACTATACACACACACACACACTATACACACACTACACACACTATACACACATTATACACACACACACACTATACACACTATACACACACTATACACTATACACACACTACACACACTATACACACACTGTACACACACTATACACACTATACACACACTATACACACTATACACACACACACTATACACACTATACACACACTATACACACTATACACACACACTATACACACACTATACACACACTACACACACTATACACACAATACACACACACTATACACACACTATACACACATTATACACACACTATACACACTATACACACTACACACACTATACACACACTATACACACTATACACACTGTACACACACTATACACACACACACACACTATACACACACTATATACACACACTACACACACTATACACACACACACACATTATACACACTATACACACACTATACATACACTACACACACTATACACACACTATACACACACTATACACACACACTATACACACACTATACACACTACACACTATACACACACTATACACACACTACACACACTACACACTATACACACACTATACACACTATACACACACTATACACTACACACACTATACACACACTATACACACACTATACACACTATACACACACTATACACACACTATACACACACTATACACACACTACACACACTATACACACTATACACACACTATACACACACTATACACACACTATACACACACACACTATACACACACACACTATACACACTATACACACACTATACACACACTATACACACACTATACACACACACTATACACACAGTATACACACACTCCACACACTATACACACACTATACACACACTACACACACTACACACACTATACACACACTATACACACACACTATACACACACTATACACACTACTATACACACACTATACACACTATACACACTATACACACTACACACACTATACACACTATACACACACTATATACACACACACTACACACACTATACACACACACTATACACACTATACACACACTACACACACTATACACACACACTACAAACACTATACACACTACACACACTATACACTATACACACTATACACACAAACAGACACACACACACACGGTCAACAGGTGCTTGTTTTTTTACCCTCATCACTTTTGACTTTTGTTTTCACTGAATCATTTGTTTATGTTGACTTGGACTCGACTTGGACTTGACTTGGACTCGTGGGTCAGTGACTCGGGACTCGACTTGGACTTGCCTGTGTTTGACTTGGGACTTGACTCTGACTTGAGGTCAGACACTTAGTTGAGATAAAATAACGACTGGACAACAGAACTGGACTGGAGACGTGTGAACTTTGCTTTTTTTTTCTTTCTTTTAATTATAAAACAAATATATGTACAAAATAATAAAATATAAACACAACGATGAAACATTCAAGATCAAACCACAGATGGAAAAAACAACAAAAACACAAAATAAAAAGATAAAATAAAATCTTTACTTAATAGAAGGAACTGAACGAAAGCTTCAAAATCTACGTAGTTTTGGAAAGAAGCGTCAGTGACTGATCTGCGCGCGCGGCTCTTTGTAAATATTATTTACTGATTAAATTATAATTACTGATTAAATATTATTTATTGATTAAATGTTGTTTTTTTTGGGTAAGTGGTGAACGGATTCAAAGTATTTTTAGTTTTACATTTACGCTGCGGTGTCTTTGCGCTCGGGACTCAGGAAAAGTGCGAACGACCAAACGAACCGAGATCCGAACATAAACTCGGCTCGTCCGGCGCATGCGCAGACCGGTTGGATTACTGAACACGTCAAATCAAACCGCCAGAACCGAGTAGCCGACAGCTAACGTGAGCTAACACACTGTATGTTTACGATCAGGAGCTCGTGGTACCTGCGGTTAACCGCACGAGCGAGCAACATTTATTTCGATTAACAATAACCGCGGCGTACACGGACGTCCTCGTTTATAAACGTAGAAGTGACGTGTTTCCGGTCTGCAGCCACACCCCTCTGGAACAACGAGGCTAATGCTAACTGCTAACCTGCTGCTAACAGGCTAATGCTAACGGCGCGTTTTAAACACTTTCCCCGAAATGACGCCTCCTCCCCGGGCAGAGCCGAGACCCGAGACCCGAGGCCCGGGACCCGGACCAGGCCCAGAGCCGCATGTGCTTTGGACTAAACCGGGACTAAACCGGGACTAAACCAGGTCTAACCGAGGTCTAACCTAGAACTAACCCAGGTCTAAACCAGGTCTAACCCAGAACTAACCCAGGTCTAACCCAGAACTAACCCAGGTCTAACCCAGAACTAACCCAGGTCTAACCCAGAGCTAACCCAGGTCTAACCCAGAACTAACCCAGGTCTAACAGGTCTAACCAGAACTAACCAGTCTAACCAGAACTAACCCAGGTCTAACCCAGAACTAACCCAGGTCTAACCCAGAACTAACCAGGTCTAACCAGAACTAACCAGGTCTAACCAGAACTAACCCAGGTCTAACCCAGAACTAACCCAGGTCTAACCCAGAACTAACCCAGGTCTAACACAGGTCTAACCCAGAACTAACCCAGGTCTAACCCAGAACTAACCCAGGTCTAACCCAGAACTAACCCAGGTCTAACACAGGTCTAACCCAGAACTAACACAGGTCTAACCCAGAACTAACCCAGGTCTAACCCAGAACTAACCCAGGTCTAACCCAGAGCTAACCCAGGTCTAACCCAGAACTAACCCAGGTCTAACACAGGTCTAACCCAGAACTAACCCAGGTCTAACCCAGAGCTAACCCAGGTCTAACCCAGAACTAACCCAGAACTAACCCAGGTCTAACCCAGAACTAACCCAGAACTAACCCAGGTCTAACCCAGAACTAACCCAGGTGTGAAGCAGGTGTGAACCTGGAGCGGTGGTGGATCAGGACTCGTGTGCTGTTGGATATTTGAGGGTTTTATTTGAGTAACGGTTATAGAATCATAGAATCATAGAATCAGGACACGGTTCTGTTAGAAATGAATTATCAAAACATATTTATAAAAGTCGAGTTACACTTTATCCAAAAAAAAACAAGTCCAAAAAAACTCAGGTCAGACTCACGGTCTCCTAAAGGTCCTACAGCACGGACACGAGGACACAAGAGGGACACGAGGACACGGGAGGGACACGAGGGGAGGAAGAGGAGAGGAGAAGAGCTGCACAGGCTACAGGAGAGGAAGAGCAGGAGGAAGAGGAGAGGGAGACGAAGAGGAGGAGAGGCCCAGAGGAAGACGTGGAGGTGTCTCACACACGTGGAAGTCTTAAAGTGACGGCTGCTTTATTTTGGAGGGTTTGGAAATCTGGACTTTTATTGTGAAAGGGTCAAATGTGATTGTCTCAGGAAATATATACAATAAATAAGAACAAAAAAAAGGAGTAAAAATGTTTTTAAAGTGTGGAGAGGTCACTCACCCCACAGCGGTCACTCACCCCACAGCGGTCACTCACCCCACAGAGGTCACTCACCCCACAGCGGTCACTCTCACCCCAAAGAGGTCACTCTCACCCCACAGAGGTCACTCACCCCACAGCGGTCACTCACCCCACAGCGGTCACTCAACCCACAGCGATCACTCACCCCACAGAGGTCACTCACCCCACAGCGGTCACTCTCACCCCAAAGAGGTCACTCTCACCCCAAAGAGGTCACTCTCACCCCACAGAGGTCACTCACCCCACAGAGGTCACTCACCCCACAGCGGTCACTCTCACCCCACAGCGGTCACTCTCACCCCACAGAGGTCACTCTCACCCCACAGCGGTCACTCTCACCCCAAAGAGGTCACTCACCCCAGAGCGATCACTCACCCCACAGAGGTCACTCTCACTCCACAGCGTCACTCACCCCACAGCGGTCACTCACCCCACAGCGGTCACTCTCACCCCACAGAGGTCACTCTCACCCCACAGCGGTCACTCTCACCCCAAAGAGGTCACTCACCCCAGAGCGATCACTCACCCCACAGAGGTCACTCTCACTCCACAGCGGTCACTCACCCCACAGCGGTCACTCACCCCAGAGCGGTCACTCAACCCACAGAGGTCACTCTCACCCCACAGCGGTCACTCACCCCACAGCGGTCACTCTCACCCCAAAGAGGTCACTCACCCCAGAGCGATCACTCACCCCACAGCGGTCACTCTCACTCCACAGCGGTCACTCTCACTCCACAGCGGTCATTCACCCCACAGAGGTCACTCACCCCAGAGCGGTCACTCAAACCACAGAGGTCACTCTCACCCCACAGCGGTCACTCACTCCACAGCGGTCACTCACCCCAAAGCGGTCACTTTAAGAACACGTACTTGTGTCTCAAGATTTTTAGACTTTTTTTTTTATCAGAAATCTCCAAAAATCTAAATGTTTTTCTGGATTATTTCCATCAGAGACAAACACACGTCCACATGGGGGGGAGGGGCAGGAGGGCATCTGACACACATAAGGAGGAAGGAGGAAGGACGGGGGGGGGGGGGGGCATCTGAGTCGTTTTACGGGGAGACCTGCTTCACACGAGTTTCTATCAGAATATTACAGAATAAAAAACATCAACCACGAGTCCCTCTGTAAAACATCCACAGAATAAAGAAGAGGAGGAGGAGAGGGAGAGAGCAGAGATATAAAACGGTAGATCTCGCCACATTCAGCTTCTTGGCGCGTGTTAATGCGGCCGCCATCTTGGTCTAAGGTCGAGTTTCCACAGAACCAACGAGAGAAAACAAAAAAAAACGGAGAGAGGGAAATCGTTTCTCAACGCTCGGCTCTGTGGAAACAAAGTTCAGGTAAAAACTAAACGTTACATCAATGTTAGTAAGAAATTCTCCACATGAAACTTTAAACATAAATCCAGCTCTCGGTTTGTGAGAAACACAGATGGACGTTCGTTCGTTCGTTTAAAGCAGCGTTACCCTGGACCAAGATGGCAGCTTTGATTGACGCATTTGTTCCAATAGACGACGGGAGCAAAGACGAGATCTGCTGTTCTGTGTCTGTGGGCGGGCGGGGGGTGGGGGGGGGGGGTCTCCTGTAAGTGCTGCCATCTGCAGGAGCCTCAGAGGGAAGACACAAGACACTTCCTTTATGCTATACGCCTCCATCTCCCACAATCCCCCTGTGCTCCTGCAGATCCCAAAAAACCGAGAAACAGTCGAGCTCTGTTCACGCTTCCGTCCCAAACCACGAAAACGTTTGGAAACATGCGGCGAAACTTCCTCTGGGCTCTGATCCTGTTCGTCGACAAACTGTGGGAAAAACGAGAGAACATCCCAGTTTTCTTCATCTCCAGGTCGTCGTTGTTGTCGTCATCGTCGTCGTCGCTGCGTCTGTTCTGTTCTTTTCCTTCAGTGGGTTTGAGTCGAGCTCAGAGTCAGAACGACACCGGAAGTTTCTCGCCATGTTTCCAAACGTCGTGGTGTTTGTGACGGAAACGGGAACAGAGACGATTCACTGAGTCTTTACAGTTTGTGCCCCTGCAGTCCGACACCTCCTGACCTTTGACCCTCCAGTCGTCTTCGCCCTCGTCTTCGTCCTCTTCCGTTCTATTCCAAAGTTCCGTTTAAAGGGGCGGGCGTTTCAGAGGAAGGGTCCCACGGGCATGCCCATGTAGTTCGGGGGGGGGGGGGGGCGGGGCGGGCACGGCGACCGGGGGCAGGGCGGCGGCGCTCCAGTGCACCTTGGCGTGGTGGCGCAGGTTGGACCTGGAGGAGAAGCACCTGTCGCAGTGCTGGCAGGTGAAGGGTTTTTCGCGGGTGTGGATGCGGCGGTGGCACAGGAGCTGCGACGACACGCGGAATGCTTTCCCGCAGTCCGGGCACAGGTGGCGCCGCGGCTCAGTGTGAATGCGCCGGTGGTTCTTCAGAGACATGAGGTTCTTAAACTGTTTGTGGCAGGCGGCGCAGGCGAAGGCGCCCGTCCGGTGGCTGTTGCGGTGGTTGAGGAGGGAGCTGGCGTGGCGGTACGAGCGGCCGCACTGCTCGCACGCGTACGGGCGCTCCGCCCCCTCAGCCCCGCCCCCCGCGGCGGGAGGAGGGGGCGGGGCCGCCCGTGGCTCAGCTCCATGTGCAGGCCGTAGCTGGCGAGCGTGGGGAAGGCGCGGCGGCAGGGGCGGCAGGTCAGGGCGCTCTGACGCAGGTGCACGCGGCGGTGGGCGTACAGCTGCGACGACACGCGGAACGCCTTCCCGCAGTCCGGGCACAGGTGGCGCCGCGCCTCCGAGTGGATCCGTCTGTGGTTCTTGAACGCCAGCAGGTTGGAGAAAGTCTTAGGACACGATCCGCACGAGAAGACGCCCACGCGGTGAGTCTGCCGATGGTTCAGGAGCGAGCTGGCGTGACGGTACGAGCGCCCACACTCCTCACACCTGCCACACACAGACCACAGTCAGTGTCACACAGATGACCCGGTGTCACACAGAGACGACCCGGTGTCACACAGAGACGACCCGGTGTCACACAGGTCTGACCCGGTGTCACACAGAGACCCGTGTCACACAGAGACGACCCGGTGTCACACAGAGACGACCCGGTGTCACACAGAGACGACCCGGTGTCACACAGAGACGACCCGGTGTCACACAGGTCTGACCCGGTGTCACACAGAGACGACCCGGTGTCACACAGAGACGACCCGGTGTCACACAGACGACCGGTGTCACACAGGTCTGACCCGGTGTCACACAGAGACGACCCGGTGTCACACAGAGACGACCCGGTGTCACACAGGTCTGACCCGGTGTCACACAGAGACGACCCGGTCACACAGTGTCACACAGACCCGTGTCACACAGAGACGACCCGGTGTCACACAGGTCTGACCCGGTGTCACACAGGTCTGACCCGGTGTCACACAGGTCTGACCCGGTGTCACAGTCCCCTCCCTGGAGTCTTCCTCATAAGTGCAGGTCACACTGGGGCTTCAGGATTAAACCCCCCCCCAAACTACAAACCAAACACTGACTCAGGGCGTCCGCGTGAACGTCTGCGTCCACAGGAACGTCTGCGTCCACACCAACGTTTTACAAACTCAACTCTACTGACAGTGGAAGGATTTGTGTCTGAGCAGATGTCTCACCTGCACCTGTCTCACCTGCACCTGTCTCACCTGTCTCACCTGCACCTGTCTCACCTGCACCTGTCTCACCTGCACCTGTCTCACCTGTCTCAGTGACTCTGTGATAGTTTGTTGAGCTGCAGTTGCCGTAGCGACACACGGAGCACATGAAGAAGCCTGTTCCAGTTTTGGACACGTTCACGTCATCACAACGAACCGGAGCAAAATAAACCTCTTCTTCTGCTGAGAAAATCGTCCCTGAACATGCGACGCTTCATGAGACACGAGTAGAGTTGAGTTTGTAAAACGCTGGTGTGGACACAGTTTCCCTTCATCTGCTCTAAATCTGCCCCTGTCGCCCCTGTCGCCCCTGTGTGACCCAGGCCTGGGATTCCTCACATACAGGTATATGATCTGAAATCCGGCTCTACGGCCTGGAGGGGGAGGAGTCAGGGGGAGGAGTCAGGGGGCAGTGGGAGGAGTCAGGTGGGGCGGGGGGAGGAGTCAGGTGGGGCAGTGGGAGGAGTCAGGTGGGGCAGTGGGAGGAGTCAGGGGGCAGTGAGAAGAGTCGGGGGGGACAGTGGGAGGAGTCAGGTGGGGCAGTGGGAGGAGTCGGGGCAGTGGGAGGAGTCAGGGGACAGTGGGAGGAGTCAGGTGGGGCAGTGGGAGGAGTCAGGTGGGGCAGTGGGAGGAGTCAGGTGGGGGCGGGGCCTCTCCTCCTCTCTCCCTCGCACACACAGAGTCTCTACACAAACACACAGGGAGGGCATCTGACTTAATAGTGAATAAGACTTAAGACTTTCGACTTAACTCTAATTCAATTTGTCCAAACTTCCGAATAGTCGGCGTTCCGGCAGGCGTAGGGCGCGCTCGCCGGATTGGAGACCATATACCTGTAATGACAGACCTGTTTATGTGAGGGCGTGGCACACGTCAGGGCGGGTTAAGCGTGGCACTCACGTGTACCGGCACTCCTCTGGCTCGCCGGGCGCTTTCCCGTGGGCGTCCTGCCCGTCGGGGGGGGCGGGGACGGGGACGGAGCTCCCGTCGCCGCAGCGGTGCCGCGCCAGCGCCGAGCGGCCCTGGAAGCTCTTGCCGCAGCCGGGGCAGCCGTAGGGCGTTGCGCCCTCCTCGTGCACACGGTGGTGGTTGCGGAGGAAGCGGGCGAGGCGGAAGGCCTTGCCGCACACGTGGCACACGTGCTTCTTGCGCTGCGTGTGGATCCTCATGTGGTTGCGCAGCGCCATGTAGTTGGTGTAGGGTTTGTCGCAGAAGCTGCAGCGGAAGTTGCCCGTCTTGTGGGTGTGTTTGTGGTTGAGGAGGGAGCTGGCGTGTTTGTAGGCGCAGTTGCAGAGGTCGCACACGTACGGGCGCTCGTCCGAGTCCTCGCTGGGCGCGCGCTCCTCGCGGGGATGGGAGGGGGCGGAGCCGGAGGGCAGGTGCGCCGCCGGGCAGTCGTGGGCGGAGAGTTCAGCGGCAGTGGAGAATCCCTCGCAGCAGCCGTCGCACTCGTAGTCCATGGGCTGGCCCGGGCCCTGGGCGCCCTTGCACAGCCCGCCCGCCGAGTGCGTGGCGAGCTGCCGTTGGGTGCGGAAGCCTTTGCCGCAGTCGGGGCAGTTGTGCTTCTTGTGGGCGAAGTGCAGCCTCAGGTGGTTCTTCATGGCGAGCCGGTTGGGGTAGGTGGAGTTGCACACGTTGCAGTGGTAGTCGCCGATCTTGTGCAGATTCTTGTGGTTGGCGAGGCTGCCCGCGTGCCGGTACGTTTTACCGCACTCTTCGCAGGAGAACGGTCTCCGGCTGCTCTCCGCCGCGTCGAACTTCTGCGGCCGCGACGATCCCGCCGAAGAGTACGGCTTCTTAAAGCCCAGGGGGGCGGGGCCCAGGGGGGCGGGGCCTTTGGCAGCATCGGCTCTGAGCGCGTGCAGCTGCGAGGAGCCGGCCTGAGGGAAGAGGGCGCCACCCGGAGTCGAGCGCACCAGGCCTTTGGCGCGGTGCTCCTCGTGAAGACGAAGGTGATTTATCAACTGCTTCTGGATCTTAAAGGCTTTTCCACATTCCTCACATTTATGTCTGTGGAGAGAAAGAACGATGAAGACGAGGAAGAGGAGACACACACGTGCTCTGGAAATGAAAGAAAAATCTATAATTTTCACTGAAATAAGTTGAAACTGATAAAAAATCTACTTAAAATTGTCCAACAAAAATCAAACATTGTTTTTCATGTGAGGTTCAACAGAATCATTAGAAACTAAATAATGAAACTGTTCTGGACAAACATGATGTTTCCTTAACTTCATATTTTGTTGTACAAGTTTTGAGACAAACAAATGATTTGTGTAACTGTGAGTGAAACTTCTGCTCTGGACAACTGGGATTTTGATCCACGAGAACAAACTGTTCTAGTCTCAGGTTTGAAGGTTCCTTCTCCAGACGCTTGTTTCACCTCCAGAACAGAAGAACGCTTCAGAACAGAAGAACATTCCAGAACAGAAGAATGCTCCAGAACAGAAGAACACTCCAGAACAGAAGAACGCTTCAGAACAGAAGAACATTCCAGAACAGAAGAACGCTCCAGAACAGTCCAGTGTTTTGTTCTTAGTCGTTCTTGTGTGTTTTTCTCTGTGTGTTTTGGGTCATTTTCCTGTTGAAGACTCGTGACCTACGACTGAGATCAAACTTTCTGACACGAGGCGACACATTTTGTTCCAAAACACTTTGATAGTTTTGAGATTCTGTTGTATTTTTCACAGATTCAAGACGTCCTGAGCCTGATGCAGCAGAACCAAACCAAACCTCCTCCGTGCTTCACAGTGGGGACAGTGTTCTTTTCTTGGTCTGCTTCATGTTTGCGTCTGTGAACATAGAGCTGATGTGTCTTGCCAAAGTGCTTCAGTTTTGTCTCATCTGTCCAAAGAAAATTCTCCCAGAAGTTTTGTGGTTTGTTCATCTGCACTGAGACACTTTGGCTCAAACACTGATGGATGGTGTGATCTGACACTGATGTTCCTCATCCTTCAACTTCACGTTTTATTTGTTTGGAGGTTGTTCTGGGTCTTTGGTTCTGTTCGTATGATCCGTCTCTTCAGTTGGTCATCGGTTTTCCTCTTGCGGTCACGTCCAGGGAGGTTGTCTTCAGTCCTGTGCACCTTAAACTTCTGAAGAACATGTGGAACTGTAATCACAGGAACATCACACTGCTTGGAGATGGTCTTATTGTCTTTATCTTTATCCTGCTCGTCTCTCATGTTCTTTCTGGTCTCTGTGTGACACAGTTGTCTTCTTCTCTTTCTCTGGTCCATGTTCAGTGTTGTGTCCATCATGTCTCCAAACACAATGACACATGTCGCCCTTTAAACAGACACACTGACTGAGACTGACAAGTCTGAAGAACTTGTGGTGCAGATTAGAGACACACTGAACTTTAACATGTCCCTGTTGTCCAACTGTTTACAATCTTTTCTAGAGGAACATCATGTTTGTCCACGACACTTTCATTAGTTTGTTTTTTTAAATTATTCTGTTCAACAACAAAAACAGTGTCTGATTTTTATTGGTTATTTTTCAGTACATTTGTATTTATTATTGTTTTTATCTGTTTCAAGTTATTTCAGTGAAAATTGTAGAGTTTTCTTTCATCAGAGAAAAGACTAGTGTAAATAATATTTAATAATATTATTATAATAAATAATATTTAAATGTGACGTCTGCGGAGATGAAGACGAGGAAGAGAAGTCAGAGTGGAGATGGGGTCAGGGACTGTGAGCCTGTGACCCCGGGGTGTGAACAAACCCAGAGTGTGGACAAACCTGGGGTGTGGACAAACCCAGAGTGTGAACAAACCCAGAGTGTGGACAAACCCGGGGTGTGGACAAACCCGGGGTGTGGACAAACCCGGGGTGTGGACAGGTTCATACCTCTTGAGGTCGAAGTGCGTCCTCTGGTGGTTCTTGAGGGCGAGCAGGTTGTAGTACCTCTTCTGGCAGACGAGGCAGCGGAACACTCCGGTCTTGTGGGACTTCTTGTGGTTGAGGAGGGAGCAGGGGTGTCTGTAGCCCCGCCCACACTGTTCACACCTGTGGGGTTTGTCGCTCTGCTCCGGAGGCGCCCTGCGCGCCTCGTGAGCGCCCCCCGCTGACTCTTTGCCGTTGAGGCGGCTCTTGCCGGGGCAGGCGTGCGACGCCAGGAGCTGCCGGTCGGAGAAGAAGAGGCCGCAGTCGGGGCAGGCGCTGCGGTGACCTTTGACCTCCCTCTGCGGCCCGTGGGTCAGCTGGTGGTTCAGCAGGTCCTGTTTCCGGCCGAAGCTCTGCCCGCAGGTGGCGCAGATGAGCCTCCAGCCCTGGTCCTCGGGGGCGGGGCCGGGGGGAGCGGGGTTGTTGGCGTGGCTGCGCAGGTGGCTGCGCAGGGCGCGCAAGCTGGCGTAGTGGTTCCCGCAGACGGAGCACTGGTAAATCTCGCCGTCGTCTTCGTCGTCTTTGTCGCCAGGGCCGAGGCGTTTGACGGCGGCGGGAGCGAAGCGCGCGGCGTCCTCCTTCAGGCCGGCGGGGGGTGGAGCCGAATAGCTCATGTTGAAGCCGTTGGACAGGTTCCCCTGCGACGCCTGTCGGCCGGAGCACAGGTGAGTCTTGACGTCACTGTACACCTGCCCGCAGTCCGTGCACACCTGTCGCTCGCTCTGACGCGGCGCCGCCTGCAGGGGACTCTCGAAGCGCTCGTGAAACTCCAGAGCGTCCAAAGCTCCACCCTGAGAAAAGTGCGCCCCGCCCTCCTGCAGGGCCCCGCCCTCGCCGTAGCTCTGCTCCATGATTGGCTCAGAGCTCAGCCAGTCTCCCTCGGCGCCCGCGGCGTGGGCGGAGCGCCCCCTGTGGCTGCGCAGGTGACTGTGCAGCGCCGCCAGGTGCGGGTACTGTTTCCCGCAGACGCTGCACTGGTACTGCCCCGTCTGGTGGCAGCGTTTGTGGTTGACGAGGCTGCCGGCGTGGCGGTAGCTCTTGCCGCACTCGCCGCACTTGAACCTGCGCTCGGGAGCGTCGCCCGTTGGCCGTGCGGCGCCGGGCTCCTCCCCCGAGCTCTGAGAGCCGTCGGAGAGGAGGTCCTGGCCGTGGGAGGGGCGCGACTCGGAGTGGGCGGGGCGGGACTCGTGCGTGAGGTAATGCGCCTTCAGACTGTCCATGTCGGGGTGGGCGGAGCCGCAGTAGGCGCAGGTGAACACGGAGCTGTGGGCGGGGCCCATGATGGGGTCGTAGGGTCGTTTGTCCGAGGGCGGCAGGGGCGGCAGGGGCGGCAGGGGCAGAGGGTCCCCAAGGGCGGGCGCGTAGCTGGGCGAGCGCACGGCGGCGTGAGGCATCAACCCAAAGCTCCGCGCTACGCCCGCGGGGGGCGCCGCGCTGTGCAGCAGGAGGTGCTCCTGGAAGTCGCTTTTGTTAGGCAGCGACACCTGGCACAGGTGACAGAAGCAGTCGTTCTGAGGCCCCGCCCCCCCAGCCTCTCCGGCCCCGCCCCCTCCGCTCACCATGGCGACGGCCTTGTACTTGTGCGAGCGCTCGTGGGCGTTCAGCGCCGCCAGGTTCCCGAAGTGTTTGAGGCAGATGCCGCACTCGAAGTCGCCCTCCTGGTGGCACTTCCTGTGGTTGGCGAGACTGCCGTGGTGACGGTACGTGCGGTCGCACCGGTCGCACTTAAAGGGGCGGTCCCAGGCGTCCTCCGGTTCGGGCTCGGGGTCCCCGCGGGGCTCGCTGAGGTCGCCGGGGTCGTGCAGGGGGGAGGAGTTTTCCCCGCAGCTCAGTCCGTAGTGGCGTTCGTCACTGGGCTCCGCCTCGTCTTCGGCCGGGACACTACTCGGAGACAAAGTATGGATACGTAAGTGGTTTTTCAGAGCCACCGCGTTGGGCAGCGTGCGAGTGCAAACGGGACACTGGAAAGAGCCAACCTCGTGCGTTTTCTTGTGGTTGGCGAGGCTGGCGGCGTGTTTGAAGATGCGCCCACACTGAGGGCACTGCAGCTCGTCCGGGCGCGACGCTTTCACATGGAGGAGGGGCGAGGGGCACGGCGCCTCGGGACCTCGCTCTGCCATGTCCCCCGGGCCGACGCCAGGGAGGGTCAAAGGTCACAGGGCTCAGGGAGAAGCGGGCATCTGGAGTGAGGTCACGGGGTCAGAGGTCACTGCAAAACAAAACATTTAAAAAAGAAATTATAAAGACGAGCAGGACACTGTCCCCCCCCCCCGAGACACTGTCCCCGAGACACTGTCCCAGAGAGCCTCCCCCCACCACCGCTACTACTACTACTGATATATAATAATATAATAATAATAATAATAATAATAATATATTATTATTATTATATTATTATTATCATCTTCTTGAGGAGAGTTTTCGGGTGATTCTGACCGTAAATAAAGCCGATGGTTTAAAGCTTCACTCCTTCGCTTTTTGTGTTTGGCTCACACTGCGCATGTGCGTTTGGAGGTTCTGTTTGTAAAGTTTTAAGAACAAAAGAACAGGACAATTAAAGGAGAGTAAAAGCGCGTTAGTGCGGGGCTGTGCGGGGCTGCGGGGCCGTGCGGGGCTCCGGGGCCTGACCTTGGTCCGTCTGAGCGGGACAAAGACCCGGCGCTGCCCGAGGACCAGGCGCCCGGTCCGGCTGCGGCTCCGCGCTCCTCCCGGTGTGAGGACCGGGACCGAGACACCGAAACCAGAACCGACTCCGGGCCTGACCCGGGTCTGACCCGTTCAGAGGACGCGAGAGCCGGACACAGCTCCCCCCGAGCCCCGCGCCCCGAGCCCCGCGCCCCATTTCACAGCGCGGCTCCGGCTCAGCCATTTTCCCCTCATGCTAACATGCTAACATGCTAACGGCTACACCAGAGTCTCCGCTCCGTCCCCGCAGAAGCACAGGCCCCGCGCCCCCAAACCAGCGCTCACACACGGCCTTTATTCTGTTCTAGGTCCGGTACACCGGGACCTCCCGACTCCGTGCACCGGGACCGGACCAAAACCGTGAACAGAGCCGAGTTGCGTTAGCCTTTAGCCGCGCGGAGCCTCATGAGCGCCGCGCTCAGGAGCAGCCGAGAGCGGACAGCCCCGCGCGGGACAAAGCGGATGTGTGCGGGGCCGTGGGGCTCCGGGAGGCTCCGCGGGGCTCGAGGAGGCTCCGCGGGGCTCCTCGGTGTGAGCGGTGAGGGGCCACGGGGGCATCATGAGGCCGCGCACAGACGGAGATTCTCGGATTAGATCCGGAGCGAGCGGCGCGGAGAGCCGAGTCTCGCCCGGAGCTACATAAAGATGAGCCGAACACGGCGCGGTCCCCCCGCTGCTCCGGCCGAAGCCCGAGCGTCTCCCGCGGTCACTCACCGTCCAGAGGCCGCTGTGCCGCGCGGTGCAGAAGGACGCGCAGCTCTCTCGGTTTGTGCGCGGTTATTTCATTTTCGCCCCGTTTTTCCGCACAGGATTCGGGTTCTCGGGTCTTCCCCCCGCCGCCATTCAGCTGCACACACTTCCTGCCGCTGCCGCGTTCTGCCGCGCGGTAGGAGCGGTGCGCACCTTGACGCGTCATTTGCGCAGGACGAGCGCCGCGCGGCTCATTCACAAAACAAAACACAACAACACAAATCCAGGCAAAAAGTTTCACCTGCCTGCTCCTGCCTGCTCCTGCCTGCTCCTGTCTGCTCCTGTCTGCTCCTGCCTGCTCCTGTCTGCTCCTGTCTGCTCCTGTCTGCTCCTGCTGCCTGCTCCTGTCTGCTCCTGTCTGCTCCTGCCTGCTCCTGTCTGCTCCTGTCTGCTCCTGACACACAGACACAAAACTTTTAATTTGATTGTCATATTGACAAACAAAAACATGTATTTAAATCAGAGATGTTCCTCCTCACATGTTCCTCCTCACATGTTCCTCCTCACATGTTCCTCCTCAGATGTTCCTCCTCACATGTTCCTCCCCAGATGTTCCTCCCCATGTTCCTCCCAGATGTTCCTCCCATGTTCCCAGATGTTCCTCCCCAGATGTTCCTCCCCAGATGTTCCTCCTCACATGTTCCTCCTCACATGTTCCTCCTCACATGTTCCTCCCCAGATGTTCCTCCTCAGATGTTCCTCCCCAGATGTTCTCTCACATGTTCTCTCAGATGTTCCTCCAGATGTTCCTCCCCAGATGTTCCTCCTCAGATGTTCCTCCCCAGATGTTCCTCCTCAGATGTTCCTCCCCAGATGTTCCTCCTCACATGTTCCTCCCCAGATGTTCCTCCTCACATGTTCCTCCTCACATGTTCCTCCAAGTTCTCATAATTTTTTCTCTGACCCTCTGAAGTTTATTTGGACTAATTCAGGTTTGAGGAAACTTTCATCTCTCTTTTCAAGACGCTGTTTTCAATTTGAGTTTATATCTACAGCAGAACTTCCTCAGGACCAAAGTCGAACAACAAACACGAGAGAACGACAGGAGAACAACACGAGAGAACAGCAGGAGAACAACAGGAGGTCCAGTGAAACTTGGGTAGTTCCTCGTTCACCCAAAAGAGAAAACAGAACTGGAGCATAAACGTCAGGCTAAATATGAAACACCTGCAGGTTCATCGAGGAGACGGGGAAAACGTTCAGTTCACAAAAAAACAAACACAGGACAGAACGTGAGAACATCGGGTCGGTGGAGAAACGTCACAACCAGTGGAGAAGACAAAATAATCCCTACAAATATTTGCCATGTTATTTAAATAAACAAAAATATGAATTTATTCTGATATTTTTCCAAACTCAGTAGTTTTAACTGAAAACGTTTGAGTTCATGTTTTGATTCTCAGACGTTCTGAGATGTGTTCATGATGACGACAGGGTCACACCTGCCGCTCTTTCATCAGCTGTAACAGAGTGATGTCATCAGTGGAGCCAGGAGCAACTTCTTATCCCGTTTGTATTTACCTAGAAACTTATATATAACATTAATTACATGTATATTACAATAATTACACGTACATAACATGAATTACATGTATATAACATTAATTACACGTACATAACATGAATTACATGTATATTACATTAATTACACGTACATAACATGTATATTACAATAATTACATGTATATAACATTAATTACATGTATATAACATTTATAACCAGCTTCTTTAAAGTGAAAACAAAAACAGAAGCAGATTTAAATATTGAATCGTGACTTTGTTGGACCGACACTAACGATCTTTTCCTTCTGTTTATGAATCCATCAGGGTTTGGGTTCATCCATTTCACCTTCAAGACTTTTACAGAGACAAACTCCAAACAGTGTTGTTGTTTTTTTTTTTAATGTGGAGTAATAGTGATTCAAGTCACGACTCGACTCCTCGCTGGAGATACAGAAGATGTTTCTATTGATCCTCAGAGTAAATCCCAAAAAACCCCCAAAGCAAAACAGAGTTCAGAGATAATCACAACAAGATGAACAACAAAAATTCAACAAAATGATCAGAAACAGCGACACGTGTTCTGTAAATACTGAACCAGAGCGTTTTTAAACGAAGAGACTGAAGTTAAAACTCAAATCGATGAAGGAAGATCGATTTGATCAGAGGAGCTTTATATTTAAATGAGTCTTTTCCTGTTTGTTTTTTGACTCTTGGGACGACAAAATCTCTGATCTGCATGATGTAAACTGTGAGAAGATCTGATTGGAGTTAAATCCTGTTTGAGATCTTCAGGAGAACTGAGATGAAAACATTTAAAGAGAAATAATAGGAGTGAAGTTGGCGTGGGGAGGACAGAGGGAGCAGGACGGAGGTGGAACATCGTACAGAGGAGAATAAACCTGCACAGACTCTTCTGGATAAACGCTGAGCAGTTGGAGGAGAGAAGTTGTACTATTTTGATCAATAATATCACAGTCATATAAATGAGAGGAATCAGTTCAGATCATCTTTTTCTTAACAGAAACTGATGGACTTTGAAAGTTATTTTGTGTGATATGAAATGTTGTTTGTAACAGTTTATGTGTGGACGCTGAGAGCGACGGTTGAGACATAAACCAACCTATTTACATTTATCAACAGTTATATTTGGTGATGAATCAGTAAATGTCAGATTTATATCATTAACAGAAAAAGGACGGATTTGTTTCTGGAACAACATGAAATATGATTTAGATTTATTAAGTAGAAGTTTGTTGGACTGTAGTCAGAATTAAACAGGATTAAAATCATGTTGACTTGAGGATTGAACATCAGTGATATTAGATTTAGATGAATAAATACATATATTTGGATGAATAAATACATATATTTGGATGAATAAATAACTGTATCATCGGCGTAGAGTTGGATGTCACAGGCTGGACAGGCAAAGGGAAGGTCATTAATAAAAACAGAAAATAAAAGGGGACCTAGTGAGGAACCTTGAGGCACGCCTCTCTACTGTGGACAAACTTGAAAAATCGCCTTTAAAGAAAACACGTTATCGGCCGTGATGAAGATCTGAACTGAACCAAAGGAGAGCGGATCTGTCAAGACCTTGTGGACTTTATCTAGTAAAAGATCGACCACGTCAAAAACTTTGCTCAGGTCAATAAATAAAGCACCAACAAACTACTGTCAAAACCCGAGAAAATATGATTGGTAAATTTTAGTAAAGCAGAAGTTTGTGAAAAATACTTTCTAAAGCCGGACTGAAATGGAGAACAAAGATTATTCTAGAAAAATAAATATACGATAATTATCCTTTTCTTAGACTTTTACAAAGCCTTTGATTCTGTTTTATTTTTTCTTCCGCTGCCGTCACAGATTTGGTTTTAGATCCTTTTTCTCCAAAGCAATAAAATGATTATACAATAACTGTTCAGTAAAATAAAAAGGTCGTCCTTGTCCTGGTTTCAGCGTCAGCAGAGGAACACGGCAGGTTGGTCCACTAACCCCAGATGTGTTTGTGTCGTTCTCCCAAACTCTCACGACTCAAAACTCACAAACTATTCAAAAGTATTTCTGTTTTTGATGAGTCAGTCGATGACTCTGCTCTGTTTACGAGGGACGTACACGTATTTATTAGACTTAAACAAACTTTTGTCTCAAAATAAAAGAAGAACAAAGAGTGAAAATATAAAATATAAATGGTCATAATAAATTCTAAATAAGCAGCAAAAAAGAGCAAGAGACACGTGAAATAAAACATAATGATATATGTAGCTACCCTGGTTTTCTTAGGACTTCACGCTTCGTACTGATGATTATGTGTCAGTATTTATTCTCTTCAAGTCCATTAACACACACCGAAACACCGTGAAAACTAAAACGAAGACAGACAGAAAATATCTTAACTTTACATAAACACCTTTAAATAAATACACAATAAATACACAATTGAAACTATATTTACCGTGTTCGCCTTTACGTTACCAGCGGTAGTTAAACAGCGTGTTTTTATTTTGATGTCTTTTTTCTTTACACCTTTCTCTGTTTTCTCTCTTTTCTCGCTACAATTTTCTCTTTTTTTTCTACTTCCGGGGGCAAGGCAAAAGGTCACACAAATCCAAGGGCAAATATATTGACAAATAAAATACAAAAAACAATAACTGCAATATTCTGACATATCTCAATACTTGAACAAATAAAATAATAACCTTCTCACTTATTATCATAAAAACAAATATACTGACATTATCGTTAGTTACAATATAAATGTAAATGTACAAGGCAATAAAAAAATAAATAAAGTAGAAAGATAAGTAAAAAAAATATAAAATCTCAGCTGTGCCTTAAACCAAACAGAAACTTTCTCTAACGTTTCAGGATTTAAAAAAAAAACCTGTGAGCTTCTCCCAGTCAAATAATGTGAGATTCCAGTTAAAGAAACTGTAACTTTGGCTTTAATATTTAAAAAAAAAATGGAAAGAACTTTAATAAACTTCAATCCAGTCGTTGATAAGACAAAAAACATTTAATTTACACAGGAACACGAACACACTGACCACAGGAACACGAACACACTGACCACAGGAACATGAACACACTGACCACAGGAACATGAACACACTGACCACAGGAACACGACTGAACACGAACACACTGACCACAGGAACATGAACACACTGACCACAGGAACATGAACACTGACCACAGGAACATGAACACACTGACCACAGGAACACGAACACTGACCACACTGACCACAGGAACACGAACACACTGACCACAGGAACATGAACACACTGACCACAGGAACACTGACCACAGGAACACACTGACCACAGGAACATGAACACTGACCACAGGAACACGAACACATGACCACAGGAACACGAACACACTGACCACAGGAACATGAACACACTGACCACAGGAACACACACTGACCACAGGAACATGAACACACTGACCACAGGAACACGAACACACTGACCACACACTGACCACAGGAACACGAACACACACTGACCACACACACTGACCACAGGAACATGAACACACACACACACATGACCACAGGAACACACTGACCACACACACTGACCACAGGAACATGAACACTGAACACACACACAGGAACATGAAAACGTCTTTAAATAACTTTTTCTTGAGTTTTTCTTCAGTTTTTTTCAGTCTTTGCTGACGTGTGGACTCTGTCTCCATGGTAACTGCTGAACATTCCTCCATAGAGACACATGTAGAAGAGCCCCAGCGTCACATCATCACATTCGACCAATCACAGCGGAGTAAAGAGAAATAGGCGGAGTTTTTAGAAAAGCTTTTATTGAAATGATTCGACACACAAGAGAAAAAGAGAAATCAAACTTTTATCACAGATTTATTTATAACATGTGTATAAATAAACTGTATATAACATGTGTATAAACTGTATATAACATGTGTATAAACTGTATATAACATGTGTATAAACTGTATATAACATGTGTATAAACTGTATATAACATGTGTATAAACTGTATATAACATGTGTATAAACTGTATATAACATGTGTATAAACTGTATATAACATGTGTATAAACTGTATATAACATGTGTATAAACTGTATATAACATGTGTATAAACTGTATATAACATGTGTATAAACTGTATATAACATGTGTATAAACTGTGTATATAAATGTGTATAAAACTGTATATAACATGTGTATAAACTGTATATAACATGTATGTATAAACTGTATATAATGTGTATATAAACTATATATAACATATGTATAAACTGTATATAACATGTGTATAAACTGTATATAACATGTGTATAAACTGTATATAACATGTGTATAAACTGTATATAACATGTATATAAACTGTATATAACATGTGTATAAACTATATATAAACTATAGCACAAATGCTGCCATGACATCACCAGCTCTCGTCCAATCAGCTGCTCAAAAGCCTCAAGTGTCACAAACATGACATCATCATCATCATCATCAACGAGATTTAACTTCAAACAAACTTAAAAAGAAAACTTCACCCCCGACCCCTGACCTGACCCTGACCCCAACCCTGACCCCTGCTCTAGTCCCAGGTCCTGGTTTAGTCCCTGGTTCAGTCCCTGGTCCTGATCTAGTCCCTGGTCCAGTCCCTGGTCCTGATCTAGTCCCTGGTCCAGTCCCTGGTCCTGATCTAGTCCCTGATCTAGTCCCTGGTCCAGTCCTTGGTCCTGGTCTAGCCCCTGGTCTAGATCCTGGTCTAGTCCCTGGTCTCTCTTTTCTCCTTGAACCATGATCTCCCTGTATGTGCTCTGCTGCTGACTGGACAAGGCCTGGTCCTGGTCTGGTCCCTGGTCCTGGTCCTGGTCCTGGGGGGAGGGCTTGTAGGTCTGACACAGCGACCCCTGGAGGAAGGGGGCGCACCCGGCGTTGGTCTGGATGGTCACAGATCCGTGTTTGAGGCGGTAGCGGCGTCGGGTTTGTCCCGCCGTTGGGATGATGTTGACTCGCCCCAAAAGGTCGTCGTTCCAGCGGCTGTCGCGATCCCAGACCTCGACCTGCAGCTTCCTGAACAGACGGAGACAGAGGGCGGAGTCAAAGTCCTGTTTCACACATGTTCTAATGTTCTGAAGTTCTAAAGGTCTATTCATACTTCACAAGAACATAAGAACCCAGGGCTGGACCAGCTGAATGTTGTCACTTTGTTGGTCCAGCTCCTGGACTTACTTTTGTGAGAGGAGATTGGCCGTTCCGAGCCGCACCCTGAAGTTCCAGACGGGGAAGTCGTTGTTCCAGATCACTCCAGAGGTGGCGCCCTGCTGTCCGTAAAACACTTTGACGTATCCGTCGGTTTTGGAAAAGTAGTCGCCCCAAAGCCCCTCCCCTTTCACCACCACCACGTTGAGCCAGGCCACGCCCACCGCCTGCGGGCAGCACTCGGAGTTCACCAGGCTGTGGCCGTGACAGGAGCAGGAGCACGAGGCCGAGTCCTGAGAGCCCGTCCGACAGGGTCTGCGGCACTTCAGGGACACGGCGTTCGTCACAATGTGATGACGAATCGCCGCCCGCAGATTGGAGCGCAGGTGAGGGTTTCCTCGTACCTGCGGAGAGAGGAAGGGCATCTGACTCAATCTGACTCAATCTGACACACGGGGGGGGGGGGCATGTGACTGACCAGGAGGTGCAGGGGGCTGAGGTGGTACTGGACGACCCCGGGCAGCGTCCGGAGCGAGCCAAGCCACTTCTGATAGGCGGCGGCGCCGTGAGGGTCGAACAGGACTCCGCCCACACTTGAGTCTCCGCCCATGACCTCCACGGTGCGATCGGAGAAGGCGCCGCTGAACGTCTGACCGTGTCCCAACTTCTTCCCCTGAGCCTTACAGAAGGACGAGGCGGCGCTCACCTGCCGCCGGAACATGTCATGTACAAACACACAGGTACGAGACCCCGCCCACTGCTTCAGTTCTGCTTCAGTCCTAGTTTAGTCCTAGTTTAGTCCTGGTTTAGTTCTGGTTTCGTCCTGGTTTAGTCCTGGTTTAGTCCTGGTTTAGTTCTGGTTTAGTTCTGGTTTAGTCCTGGTTTAGTCCTGGTTTAGTCCTGGTTTAGTTTTCTGGTTTTAGTTCTGGTTTAGTCCTGGTTTAGTCCTGGTTTAGTCTGGTTTAGTTCTGGTTTAGTCCTGGTTTAGTCAGTCCTGGTTTAGTCCTGGTTCAGTCCTGGTTTAGTCCTGGTTTAGTTCTGGTTCTGACCTTGATCCCCTTGATGACGGCCCCGACCTCGGCGCTCAGACAGTTGCTGATGGTTCTGGTGGACAGTTTGTTCATGGAGGACTGACAGGTGCGCACGGCCGTCAGGGAGTGCACCTGTCCACCCAGCGTCACCCGCCGCATGTAGTGAGTGCCGTAAAGCGCGATGAACTGCTGAAAAGCTGAGTTGTTGTGGAGTTGGAGGGTGGAGGGGAGGTGCTGCAGCGACTCCTCGAACTCTTTGGTGAGGGGGGGGCGGGCGTGAACCCGGAACCTGACGGACGGGACAATGAGATGAGTACGAGGCTCCGCCCACAAGTCCTCTCCACACAGATCACTACATGACTCAGACATGTTTGTGAGGAGCAAAGACACTTCAAAACTTTTCACACATAACACTTCCTCTTTCAAAAGTAATTTTACTATAAGTATTAGTACTTTTATTGTAAATATTAGTACTTTTACTGTAAGTATTTGTACTTTTATTTTAAATATTAGTACTTTTACTGTAAGTATTTGTACTTTTACTATAAGTATTAGTATTTCGTTCAAACATCGATTTTTTTTTTTTTTTTGCTTTTAAAAGTTGTTTATAAAAGGTTATTTTCTCACATAAATAATAATTCAGTTCTTTATTAAAATCAGTAAAACTCAGAGGACGTACATGTTTACTTGTTGTATTTTCAAAAGTTTTTGATACAGTGGATCACACAGTTCTACTGTTGTATAAAATTATATAAATATGTTTTCATAATTGATCCCAGTTTGTTTTGGTCAGTGCTTGTGATTCTGTTGGAGCTGATGTCAGTGTGGAGTCCCTCAGGGCTCAGGATTAGGCCCTTTATTATTTTTATTGCACATAAACGACTTATGTTATATAAAGAACTAACCCCAAAAGTTTATTATTTATGTTCAATTCAAATTCTAATGAACCAAAAGAAATCTGCTTAAAATTTTAAAAAATCATCATCTCTCTCTCTCTCTCTCTCTCTCTCTCTCTCTCTCTCTCTCTATATATATATATATATATATATATATATATATATATATATATTATATATATATATATATATAATTTTATTTAATTTTTTTATTGAATTGATTCTATGATTTCATCATACATATCGTATCATTTCCAGTTAACCCTAAAATCTAAATAGTTTTAAATGAAATATCTGGTGTCTCTGCGTCAGTGTCGATGAAAAATCTAAACTGGAAAGAAAAATGAATAAATCTTTGGGTATTAAAGGAAAAGTTTGTAAAATTCTGGATTCAAAATCTTTAATTACATCATATTATAGTTTAATTAATCCACCACCTACAACACCACCCACCTACACCCACCTACAACACCACCCACCTACACACACCACCCACTACAACCACCTACAACACCACCACCCACCTACAACACACCCACCTACCTACACTACACCTACACCTACCCACCTACAACACCACCACCTACAACACCACCACCACCACCTACACTACAACACCACTACACCCACCTACAACACCAACCACCTACACCCACCTACACCCACCTACAACACCACACCTACAACCACCTACAACACCACCTACACCACCTACAACACCACCACCTACAACCACCTACAACACCACCACCACCTACAACACCACCCACCTACACCCACCTACAACACCACCACCTACACCCTACACCCACCTACACCCACCTACAACACCACCCACCTACACCCACCTACACCCACCTACAACACCACCCACCTACACCCACCTACACCTACACCACCGACCACCTACACCACCTACACCCACCAACCACCTACACCCACCTACAACACCGACCACCTACTCCCACCTACACCCACCAACCACCTACACCTACCTACTCCCACCTACACCCACCTACACGCACCTACAACACCGACCACCTACACCCACCTACATCCACCTACAACACCACACCACCTACACCCACCTACTCCCACCTACACCACCACCCACCTACACCCACCTACAACCTACACCCACCAACCACCTACAACCACCTACTCCCACCTACACCCACCTACACCCACCAACCACCTACACCCACCTACAACCTACACCCACCAACCACCTACACCCACCTACACCACCTACACCTACCCACCTACAACCTACACCCACCTACAACCTACACCCACCACCTACACCACCTACACCACCCACCCACCTACACCACCACACCACCTACACCCACCTACAACCTACACCCACCAACCACCTACACCCACCTACAACACCAACCACCTACACCCACCTACTCCCACCTACAACACCAACCACCTACACCCACCTACACCCACCTACACCCACCTACAACCTACACCCACCAACCACCTACAACCACCATATACACCACTCACCTCACCCGCACATCCACCATCTGCCACACACGCACACACACTCACTCTGACCACCTGACCACCAGACCACCTGACCACCAGACCACCTGACCTCCAGATCACCACCTGACCACCAGACCACCTGACCACCAGACCACCTGACCACCAGACCACACAAGCTACGAATCTGCGTCTCCCCAAAAAAGAACTTTGGACTTTTCCATTTATTTTTCTGATTATTATTTAGAAGTTTGGGAGTGAGATACCATTTCAGTTCTTCATGTGTTTCATATGAAAACTGACAATATAGATATTAAAATTTTAATTTGAAGTAGTAGTAGAAGTAGCAGTAGTAGTAGTAGTAGTAGTAGTAGTAGCAGCAGTAGTAGTAGTAGCAGTAGTAGTAGTAGTAGTAGTAGTAGTAGTAGTAGTAGTACTCACGTGTAGTATTCACAGCTGACCTTGTGCCGTATGAAGGAAAACTTGTCTGATTTACTGTGGCTCTGAGCAAAAGTCGAGGACTTGGAGTGAGACCCGCCCACGGCCACGCCCCCCAGACCGGGCAGACCCAGACCCACCTGAAACAGACCCAAGACCGGGTTTTTTAGACCAGGTTTAGACCGGGTTTAGACCGGGTTTACACCGGGTTTAGACCGGGTTTAAACTGGGTTTAGACCGGGTTTAGTTCTGGTGTAGTACCAGTACCTTCCAGGAGGCGCTCAGACTCTTGCTGGACTCTTGAAGCACCGACTGAGACGAGGAGAAAACCTGAGAACTGAGACTGCGACTACATCGAACCTGCAGCAAAGCATGATGGGAAACATGAGAGAGGGAGGGGGTCGGGCGCGGGGGGTCGGGGGGGTGTACCTTGATCCTCCAGTCTTTCACGGACGCCGGCAACTTCTGAGTCTGAAACAATAAAAAAAAACACAACTTGACATTTTTTAAGAGTTTAAATCGACTCATTTCCCCACAGACTCTTTCTATATATGGTCATATCCTGTTTCTATATATGGTCATATCTAAAACTCTCGCCACCGTGTTCCAAACAGGAAGTGATCATGGCGGCTTTTCAGGCTCCTTCTGATTCTGGCTTCAGTGATTTCCATTGGAATGTGTGTGTGTACAGTGTGTGTGTGTGTGTATAGTGTGTGTGTGTGTGTGTATAGTGTGTGTGTGTGTGTGTGTGTATAGTGTTTTTGTGTGTGTACAGTGTGTGTGTGTGTGTGTATAGTGTGTGTGTGTGTGTGTGTGTACCTGGTTGACCAGTGCGTTGTGACACACGGTGCAGTTGCCATGTTCGCCACCGTTCATAAACGTCTTGACGTCGACCACGGTGCTCCCGGTGGGCACCAGGCGCACCAGGTCAAACCCCTCCCCCACCAGGTTATGACCCGGCACGAAGGGCACGCCGTGACACTCCGTGGCCGACGCCACGTGACACGAGGCGACCAATGAGATGCAGCCGCACAGGACGGAGAGGGGGAGGAGCCACGCCATCCTGACCAGTGGGAGGGGGAGGAGCCACGCCATCCTGACCAGAGGGAGGGGGGGTGAGAGGTGAGGGAGGGGGCCAACATGTTTCCATGACTGACTTCACACAGACATTTTGTTTAAATTACAAAAAATACACAGATACACAGAACACACAAATGCACTTGTGCCGATCACACATGGTGAAATGTGGGGACCTTCTGGAAGATTTATGGAATAACTTAGACGACGTCTCAAAGCTCGTACTGGAGCTCGTCAAAAAACTATTTAAGAATGTAATCTTACACAAACACCAAGAAGATCAGACCCACCGTCCAAACCACGACTGTGAACTAAACACAGACTTTTCTTTAACACCATCTTTTATTTTGTATAAACCAAAATATATTTGTGCGTGTGTGTTATGCACAAGTATGTATATGTATATATATTTATATTGAATATAATGTGATATTTTAGATGTGTGTGTGTATGTGTGTGTGTATTTACAACAGGTAAGCGCTCCAAAGGTGTAACCCCCCCAAAAAGGTGACTTTGTAAAACATTTGGGGCTGGACAGTTTCAGCTCATTAAACTTCATCCTCCTGTTTTTGAGTCCAGGTCCCACATCTACACATGTGCGTGTGCTTCATGTGCGTGTGCTTCATGTGCGTGTGCTTCATGTGCGTGTGCTTCATGTGCGTGTGCTTCATGTGCGTGTGCTTCATGTGCGTGTGCTTCATGTGTGTGCACTGTTTTTTTGTCATTGTTGATGTTTTTGTAACAAATAAATAAAATTAGAAATGACTCGTGTTATATAAATTATAAATGACGCGTCTGATTTTACTCTGAGTGTTTCCAGAATTGATGTGATGGATTTTTTTGTCTCATTGTGAAAAGTTAAACATGATCCACACACAGAGGTGAGAGGCTCCAGGTCCTGTGAATGTAAGAGACCTCATCACCACGGCAACGAGTCCAGACCACAGACCACAGACCCCAGACCCCAGAGTCCAGATTCAGACCCAGATTCAGACCCCAGACCCATTTGTTCAGATTAAAATGTGGAAATGTACTGACCGTGAGCAGGAGACGCAGGAGACGCTGGAGGAGCAGGTGTAAAACTGAAATGACAAGACTTCAGAGAAGTGTCAGTTTTAAACAGCAACTCCACCCTTCACACACACAACACGCATTCACATTCACACACACACACACACAAAGATACACACACACACACTCCACACACACATTCACACACACAACACACTCCACACACACATTCACACACACAAGACACACACGAGCTGGACGTCCTGACGTGCTGATGCGCTCACACCTCGACGTGTTGGCGCTCAAAAACACTTGAGTTAGACTCTTCTTCTTCCTCCAGATTCTCGTTGTTTCTTCTCTGAACTTTATTTTGGCTGATTCATTTTTTAGGAAACTTTCATCTCTTATTTTCAAGCCTTCATTTTGTGTCTGTCGTTGTGTTTGTTTTTCAGCTGCAGCTCGTCGCGCTGTGACACACACACGTCCGTCTGCAGCTCGAACGCACAGACTTTATGTTGGACTAAGACTCTAATCGCTCAGAAAATGGATTTCAATTTGGGTTAAAAAATGAATGAATAACACGACTAACAAAAGGCAAAGCCAAAAGAAAAATCACCAGAATAAACTTTTCTTAAAATATAGATCCAAAGAAACAGAACAAAGATACAAAACCTATAAAAATAAAGACATTATTGGAACAGCATCAAAATAATCTCCAAGGTACCTGGACATAAAAAAAAAAAAAAAAAATCCAAACTATTTTGTGACAATTGCCAAATTGTAAACAAAAATGAGGAAATGTCAAATGTCTTTGATCATTTCTTTGTAGAAGTCGGAGCGACTGTTGTTCATGTTCATTGTTCAAGCATCAAATTTAAATGGAACAGAGAAGAACAACATCAGATCAAACGTCAATTCATTTTTTCTTCAGTATTAAGTTTGGATGAAAATAAAGAATCAAATCTGTGAGTAAATTTAAGAACAAAACATCCACAGACGCTTTAAACATCGACAGGATCAAATATTATAAACTGTAACTTATAAACACACACATCTGTAAACAGAAACTTCCCAAACGGCCGAAATAACCCCGTCTAAAAGTGGAGATCAACACCGATTTACCCGTTATACATCAATTTATTTATATATATATATATATATATATATATATATATATATATATATATATATATATATATATATATATATATATATTTTTTTTTTTTTATATATATTTTTTTAATTATTATTTATCTCTATTGTCACAGTTCTCAAAAATACTATAAAAATAGTTTATTGTTAAGGCTGGATGATAAATATAATCTCACGTCTGATTTCCAGTTAGATTTTTGGTCAAACAGCTGAAGATCAACGTTGCTCCTGGAGGTCGGTGTTGGTCCTGGAAATCAGCGTTGGACGTGGAGATCAGCGTTGGTCCTGGAGGTCAATGTTGGTCCTGGAGATCGGTGTTGGTCCTGGAGATCAGCGTTGGACGTGGAGATCAGTGTTGGTCCTGGAGGTCAGTGTTGGACGTGGAGATCAGCGTTGGTCCTGGAGGTCAATGTTGGTCCTGGAGATCGGTGTTGGTCCTGGAGATCAGCGTTGGACGTGGAGATCAGTGTTGGTCCTGGAGGTCAGTGTTGGACGTGGAGATCAGCGTTGGTCCTGGAGGTGGAGATCGGCGTTGTTCCTGAGATCGGCGTTGGTCCTGGAGATCGGCGTTGGTCCTGGAGATCAGTGTTGGTCCTGGAGATCAGCGTTGGTCCTGGAGATCAGCGTTGGTCCTGGAGATCAGTATTGGTCCTGGAGCTGGTGAAGGTTCACACTGAATAAAAGAGAAATAAAAGATCTGAGCGTCTCTGACTCTGCAGACATGAACTGCTCTGGGTTGAAATGGAAAAGTCCAATATCAGAGTCACTAAACACGACCGGATGAAAAAAACAATCTCAATATTTCCAAGTGAAAGATTTGAAGTGTGAAAAACTGGTCTGAGCCCTGGAGTCCCACAGGGCTCAGTCTTTGGGCCTCACGTGTTTATAATGTACGTACAGGATTTATGTCAGTGGTAAAAATCTGCTCTGTGTTTGATTTACTGACAATGATCTTTTTCTCTGGACACAGTTTCGAGCAGCTGCTGGACAAAGCTGAAAATGAACTTCGAAAAATGAAAGAAAAAATAAATGGTTTGATTACAACAAATGATCAGTGAATCTCAATAAAACTAAATCTATAATCTTCAGAAATAGGAAAACTGAAAATGTAACTAAAATAAAAATGACACAGATTGAAATAGAGACGATAAGAAACACGACGTTTGAGTTTGAACGGAAACGAAAAACTTCACTGGAAAATTCACAAAAAAATATAAAATTATTGGTTTAATGTGTAAAGTCCAAAGTCCAAGAATCAAAAGTGTGAACAGAATAGGGACTAATAAATAAAAAAAATTATAAAAAAAAAATAAAATTTATGTTGCACTATCACATTTATTTTGTTTGACTTTGCCAAATTTGTGTCGGCGTGGGTGGTTGGGGGGAAATGGGGGGGCTTTTTTTATTTTTTTTTTGTATTTGTTGTGGTTGTTGCTTTATGTTTTTGTCTTTGTTTTATGCTGAATATTGTAATTGTTAAATGTTGATGTTTGTTTTATTTTTTAAATGTTATATTCTGTTGTCTTTAATTAAAAAAATAATTTAAAAAAAGGAAAAGAAAAAATATATATAAAAAAAGTGTGAACAGAAGAACAGTGTGTGTGTGTTCTGTGTGCGTGTGTGTGTTTTGTGTATGTTGTGTTGTATGTGTGTTGTGTGTGTGTTTGTGTTCTGTGTGCGTGTGTGTTGTTGTGTGTGTTTTGTGTATGTGTTGTGTGTGCGTGTGTGTTGTGTGTGTGTGTTGTGTGTTGTGTATGTGTGTTTGTGTGTGTGTTTTGTGTGTGTGTGTTTTGTGTGCGTGTGTGTTGTTGTGTGTGTGTTGTGTTTGTGTTCTGTGTGCGTGTGTGTTGTTGTGTGTGTGTTGTGTATGTGTTTTGTGTGTGTGTTCTGTGTGTGTGTTCTGTGTGCGTGTGTGTTGTGTGTGTGTGTGTGTGTGTGTGTGTGTGTGTGTGTGTGTGTGTGTGTGTGTGTGTGTGTGTGTGTGTTGTGTGTTTGTGTGTGTGTGTGTGTTGTGTGTGTGTGTGTTGTGTGTGTGTTGTGTATGTGTGTTGTGTGTGTGTTCTGTGTGTGTGTGTGTTGTGTTGTGTGTATATTGTGTGTTGTGTTGTGCGTCTGTGTGTTTGTGGTTTGTTGTTGTGAGTGAAGCTGCAGTTTTTTTGTGCTGAGTTTGTTTCATTCAAACTTTTACAGTTTGATTCTCAGAAAAAAAACCCAAAGAAACAGAAAAGAGGAAGAGAAAGAGAGAAAAAGAAAAAGAAAGAAAGAGAAAAAGTTCAGGTTTGTGCGTCTAGTTTTCCTCCTTTTACAAAAATGAAAAGTGACAAAGAAACAGAGTCACAAGAAACACACACAACACAACACACACACAACACACAACACACAACACAACACACACTCTGTGTATGTTTATACAAATATCTTTATACATTGTGTGTGTACTGTGTCCCTACAGAACACGTCTTCATTTTCATTCACACACTGACACTAACGAAACAAAACGAGACACACTCTGATCAAAGGCAAAAAAAACCCCAAAAACATTTATATATTTATTTATTTATATACAGTCTGTAGTACATTTATATACATATATTTGTAGTACATTTACATTTATGTTCGCCGTGGATCACGTGACTCAATAAACTCTTTGAGTGTAAAAGGTTTGGGTTAAACTGCGCCCTCTGCTGGAGCCGCTGCTCCAAACATCCTAAACAAACATCACATTTATTTGACAACAAATGGAAATGTTCCGCCGTTTAACGATAACAATAAAAACAAAAATACTTTATTTGTTTCACCAAAACCAAACCAAACATTGTGAGCCACGAGCGCAGGTTTTTACCAAAACATGAAACATTAAAGTCCGACTCACCCGAGGATCCAGAAAACACTTTTCTGAGTTCAACTGTAAAATTCAGTTTTAAAAGTATCATTTTATTTTATTTTAATTTGCAGCGAATCTCCCACAAACCCCCGCGGCTCTGCGCAGGCGCAGTGACGCCGCGGCCGTGACACTGCAGAATCTGAATCAGAAACTCACCGAAGCAGGACGTGCAGAACCTCCACAGAACCTCCACAGAACCTCTACAGAACCTCTACAGAACCTCCACCAGAACCTCCACCAGAACCCCCACCAGAACCCCCACAGAACCTCCACCAGAACCCCCACAGAACCCCCACAGAGCGGCGCACTCCCCGGACTCGTGATGAAGGAGACCGCGGCGAAGCGACGGGAAAAAGCGGCGAAGAAGGAGCCGAAAGAAACGAAAGGCCCCGAACCTCAGGACGTGGACATGCCCGAGGAAGAGGCGCCTCCTGCGGCCACAGCAGGAGAACAGGACGGCCTCACTCTGGAGGGTAAGAGCCGGGCCGCACCTTCTGTCCGTTAGCATGTTAGCATGTTAGCTCCAGTGCTAATAAACAAAAGCTGAGAGCTGCAGATCTAAAGAGACAAACTCTGACACAAACTCTGATTTAAACCCAACAGAACCCGGGACGGTCCGGGTCTAGTTCGGGTCTAGGTCGGGTTTAGTCTGGACTGTGTGTCTCTGTGTTTGTCTGTGTTTTGTGGAGGTTTGTGGAGTTTGTCAGGGGAATATTCGCGGAGTCACTGAGCTAAAGCTGCTCCTGAAACAGGACCAGACCCAGGACCAGGACTAGACCCAGGACCAGGACTAGACCCAGGACCAGGACTAGACCCAGGACCAGGACTAGACCCAGACCAGGACTAGACCCAGACCCAGGACTAGACCCAGACCCAGGACCAGGACTAGACCCAGGACCAGACTCAGACCCAGGACCAGGGTTGACACGTTTAACTCCCAGAGTTTTACACATGAGACACACAGAGACACATGGAACAATATTTGATCCATCGTGTGAGTCAGATGTGACACATGATTAAAATGAGTTTATTTTTTATATAAAAAAAAAAAATATATATATATATATATGCAGACATATACACACGCAGACAGACACACACTAGAGCTGTGCAAAAATATTGATATATCGGTATATCGTATCGTTTAATGCGATGACACAGTATCGATATCATGGGCTGCTCTATCGATATATCGCCAAGAGTACTTTGGGGTATATTTTCACTATTTTGTGACAGCAGTACAGTTTTGTTGCGTGTTCAGAGGAAGGAATCTTTTTTTATGCAACACATTTGACATTTTCACTGTTTTGATGATTAAAATGGGCATTTTTCAGATGAACTTTGCACAAGAAGTGGTTTAACAAACACTTTTAGTATCAGAGCCATGATGTAACTTTTGTTTTTTATTGAACCGTATCGAATCCATTTGAAATATATCGTATCGAACCGAAAGTGCACTGTATCGAGATATGTATCGTATCGTGGCCTACGTATTGAGGTATGTATCGTATCGGCAACTTCTTAATGATACTCAGCCTTAACACACACTCACACTCACACTCACACTCACACTCACACTCACACACACACACACACACACACACACACACACACACACACACGTCAGAGGATTTCAGACATTTGCAGTGAGAAAAGTTCCATTTAAATAAACTTAACAAACCTCCACACGAGCCGCACATTTATGTAAAAACACAAGTCAAGAATTTAACCATTGAATCTCTGTGTGTGTTGCTCTTGTGGCTGACCCTCTCTCTCTCTCTGTGTGTGCTGCTCTTGTGGCTGACCCGCTCCCCGGCGCAGACATTAAGGAGCACGTGCGTCAGATCGAGAAGGCGGTCCAGGGGAAGGAGCCGCGGTTCGTCCTTCGCGCCCTCAGAGCTCTGCCCGCCATCACCCGCCGCCTCAACGCCAACGTGCTCCACAAAACCATCTCCGGCTTCTACACCAGCAACGCCACCGCCAGGGACTACCTGCTCAGCTTCCTCGAGGAGGTACGGCCCCCGACACACACGCGAGGGGAGGGCGCCCGACGCGCACGCGAGGGGAGGGCGCCCGACGCGCACGCGAGGGGAGGGCGCCCGACACGCACATATATAAGAGGAGGGCACCCGACACACACATATATAAGAGGAGGGCACCCGACACGCACGCGAGGGGAGGGCACCCGACACACACGAGGGGAGGGCGTCCGACACACACGAGGGGAGGGCACCCGACACACACGAGGGGAGGGCGTCCGACACACACGAGGGGAGGGCGCCCGACACACACACATATGAGGGGAGGGCGCCCGACACACACACACATATGAGGGGAGGGCGCCCGACACACACACATGAGGAGGGCGCCTGACACACACACATATGAGAGGAGGGCGCCCGACACACACACATGAGGGGGAGGGCGCCCGACACACACACATATGAGAGGAGGGCGCGCCCGACACACACACATATGAGGGGAGGGCGCCCGACACACACACACATATGAGAGGAGGGCGCCGACACACACACACACGAGAGGAGGCGTCCGACACACACACACACGAGAGGAGGGCGTCCGACACACACACACGAGAGGACGGCGTCCGACACACACACACGAGAGGACGGCGTCCGACACACACACACGAGAGGACGGCGTCCGACACACACACACGAGAGGACGGCGTCCGACACACACACACGAGGGGACGGCGTCCGACACACACACACGAGGGGAGGGCACCTGAGTGTTTTTTGGGTGGTTTTGGTGGGAGGGCATCTGAGTGTTTTTCTTCCTGTTTGTGTGCGCAGCCCATGGAAATGTGTGAAGGGGACGTTCAGTTTCGTCCTCGTACGGGAAAAGCTGCGTCTGCTCCTCTGCTCCCCGAGGTCGAAGCTTTTCTCCAACTGCTCCTCATCATCCACCTGTGCTCCACCAAGAGCTACACACAGGTACACACACACACACACACACACACACACACACACACACACACACACAACACACACACCTGTGCTCCACCAAGAGCTACACACAGGTACACACACACACACAACACACACACACACACACAACACACACACACCACACACACCTGTGCTCCACCAAGAGCTACACACAGGTACACACACACACACACACACACACTATACACACACAAACACACACAACACACACACACACACACACAACACACACACACACACACACACACGCGACACACACACACACACACACACACACACACACACACACCTGTGCTCCACCAAGAGCTACACACAGGTACACACACACACACACACAACACACACACACACACACACACACACACACACACACACACACACACACACGACACAACACACACACACACACACACACACACACACACACACACACACACACACACACACACACACACACACACACACACACACACACACACACACACACACACACACACACACACACACACACACACACACACACACACAACACACATAGACGCACACACGCCTACACCCACGTACTCCACACACACTTCTGCTCTTCTGTACCTTCTTGTTTTTTTTTTTAGCCCTGGTCTAAACTCTGCTCCTCCTCTAAAATCAGACCCCGGTCTCTCTCTGGTCCTGGTCTAACCCCGGTCTCTCTCTGGTCCTGGTCTAACCCCGGTCTCTCTCTGGTCCTGGTCTAACCCCGGTCTCTCTCTGGTCCTGGTCTAACCCCGGTCTCTCTCTGGTCCTGGTCTAACCCCGGTCTCTCTCTGGTCCTGGTCTAACCCCGGTCTCTCTCTGGTCCTGGTCTAACCCCGGTCTCTCTCTGGTCCTGGTCTAACCCCGGTCTCTTCTGGTCTGGTCTAACCCCGGTCTTTCTCTGGTCTGGTCTGGTCTTCTGGTCTAACCCCGGTCTCTCTCTGGTCCTGGTCTAACCCCGGTCTTTCTCTGGTCCTGGTCTAACCCCGGTCTCTCTCTGGTCTAACCCCGGTCTCTTTCTGGTCCTGGTCTAACCCCGGTCTTTCTCTGGTCCTGGTCCAGGCCCAGAAAGTCTCTGATGACCTGATGCAGAAGATTTGCTCAAAGAACCGCAGAGCTCTGGACCTGGTGGCCGCCAAATGTTTCTACTACCACGCGAGAGTGTACGAAAACTTGCAACAACTACACACAATACGCAGGTAACGCACAACACACACACACACTACACACACACACACACTACACACACACACTACACACACACACAACCCACAACACACACACTACACACTACACACACACACAACCCACAACACACACGCCAGAGTGTACGAAAACCTGCAACAACTACACACAATACGCAGGTAACACACAACACACACACACTACACACACAACCCACAACACACTACACACACACACACTACACACACACAACCCACAACACACACAGGCGAGAGTGTACGAAAACCTGCAACAACTACACACAATACGCAGGTAACACACAACACACACACACACGTGAGAGTGTACGAAAAGTTTCTTTTTGGTCCGTTTCTGTCCTCAGTTTCCCTCACACGCGCCTCATGTGTCTGTTTCTTTTTGGTCCGTTTCTGTCCTCAGTTTCCCTCACACGCGCCTCATGTGTCTGTTTCTTTTTGGTCCGTTTCTGTCCTCAGTTTCCCTCACACGCGCCTCATGTGTCTGTTTCTTTTTGGTCCGTTTCTGTCCTCAGTTTCCTCCACACGCGCCTCATGTGTCTGTTTCTTTTTGGTCCGTTTCTGTCCTCAGTTTCCTCCACACGCGCCTCATGTGTCTGTTTCTTTTTGGTCCGTTTCTGTCCTCAGTTTCCTCCACACGCGCCTCATGTGTCCGTTTCTTTTTGGTCCGTTTCTGTCCTCAGTTTCCTCCACACGCGGCTCCGGACGTCGACGCTCAGACATGACACGGACGGACAGGCTGTGCTCCTCAACCTCCTGCTGAGGAATTATCTGGAGTTTAACCTTTACGACCAGGCCGAGAAACTCGTGTCCAAGTCTGTGTTCCCCGAGGTCGCCAACAACAACGAGTGGGCCCGATACCTCTACTACACAGGTACTACGAATACTACTACTACTACTACAACAACGAGTGGGCCCGATACCTCTACTACACAGGTACTACGAATACTACTACTACTACTACAACAACGAGTGGGCCCGATACCTCTACTACACAGGTACTACGAATACTACTACTACTACTACAACAACGAGTGGGCCCGATACCTCTACTACACAGGTACTACGAATACTACTACTACTACTACAACAACGAGTGGGCCCGATACCTCTACTACACAGGTACTACGAATACTACTACTACTACTACAACAACGAGTGGGCCCGATACCTCTACTACACAGTTACTACTACTACTACTACTACTACTACTACTACTACTACTACTACTACTACTACTACTACTACTACTACAACAATCTGTAGTTGTTGTTGTAGTTGTTGTTGTAGTTGTTGTTGTAGTAGTTGTTGTTGTAGTTGTTGTTGTAGTTGTAGTTGTTGTTGTTGTTGTAGTTGTAGTTGTAGTTGTAGTTGCAGATGTAGTTGTAGTTGTAGTTGTAGTTGTAGTTCAGTTGTTGTAGTTGTTGTTGTAGTTGTAGTTCAGTTGTTGTAGTTGTAGTTGTTGTTGTAGTTGTTGTTGTAGTTGCAGTTGTAGTTCAGTTGTTGTTGTAGTTGTAGTTCAGTTGTTGTAGTTGTTGTTGTAGTTGTAGTTCAGTTGTTGTAGTTGTAGTTGTTGTTGTAGTTGTTGTTGTAGTTGCAGTTGTAGTTCAGTTGTTGTTGTAGTTGTAGTTCAGTTGTTGTAGTTGTAGTTCAGTTGTTGTAGTTGTAGTTGTAGTTCAGTTGTAGATGAGCGTCAGTGTGGAACATTTGTGTTGTGAGTCTCTGGCTCCATCTGCTGGTTTAAAAAATGAACTGCAGAAAAACACACAACGATACACATATACACACACACACAACCATACACATATACATACACACACACACAACCATACACATATACACACACACACACACAACCATACACATATACACACACACACACACAACCATACACACATATACACACACACACACACACACACAACCATACACATATACACACACACACACACACACACACACCATACACATACACACACACACACACACACACAACCATACACATATACACACACACACACACACAACCACACACACACATGTACACACAACCACACACACACAACCATACACATATACACACACACACAACCATACATATACACACACACACACAACCATACATATACACACACACACACACACAACCATACACATATACACACACACACACACACACAACCATACACACACACACACACAACCATACACACATATACACACACACACACAACCATACACACATATACACACACACACACACACACACATACACACATATACACACAAACAACCATACACATATACACACACACAACCATACACACACACACACACACACACACAACCATACACACACACACACACACACACCATACACATATACACACACACAACCATACACATATACACACACACAACCATACACATATACACACACACAACCATACACACATATACACACACACAACCATACACATATACACACACACATACACCATACACACACACAACCATGCGCACACACACACACACACAACCATGCACACACACACAAACACACAACCATACACACATATACACACACACAAACAACCATACACATATACACACAACACATACAACCATACACACATACACACACACAACCATACACACACACACAACCATGCACACACACACAAACACACACAACCATACACACATATACACACACAAACAACCATACACATATACACACACACAACCACACACACACACACACACACACACACACACAACCATACACATATACACACACACAACCATACACATATACACACACACACACAACCATACTCACACACACACACACACACATATACACACACACACAACCATACACACACACAAACAACCAGACACATATACACACACACATACACACACAAACAACCATACACACATACACGCACACACAACCATACACATACACACACACACAACCATACTCACATATATACTAGGGATGGGCATGATTAGTCGATTAATCGATAATTGATTATTAAAAATTTCATCGACTATGTTAATTTTAATCGACAAACCGAATGTAGGTTGCTGTGCGTAGCCTGACCAAACAGGTGTGTACATGTGTCTCTGCATCAGAAGGAGCGACACGCAAACAGTGGGTCAGTCTGTAACGAACCGAAGCACAAATGTGGATTTAACCAGGATTTGTAGAAGAAATTCCACACTTTCCGTTGCGTTGGGACAAGTGTGAGTCCATGTGCACAGTGGATAAAGCAGCACATATGTTTCTGTGTCCAGTGGGAAAAAGTTTTTCCGGGTGAGAGTCGCTCAATGTGGATGACGAGGCCCCGCCCCCCTCCCCCCGTACGCTGTCCTGGTTTTGACAAACACAAATCTGGTCACACTGACCTGTATTCACCTGAGTCATGTCTTTTAATCCAACACAAGTTGAACCACATCAGCGACACAAGAGCTGGAGTTTTATCTTCACTTAGTTTATGTAAATTAGTGATGTGGTTTTAAGTTTTGTTTCTGTGAGATTTGAACAAAACTGAATTAAACACATTATAATGTCAAACAGCTGATGTGGATCTAGAGTCGTTATGTTTATATGTCGTAAAGTTGAATTTATTGATGCAGATTAGTGCAGATAGAAATAATAATGATGATCATTTTAATAGAAAAACGTTCATGATTAATCGATAATCGATCGTTAATTCTTCCGACGATCGATTAAGAACATTTCATTGAATGCCCGTCCCTAATACATACACACACACAATCATACACATATATACACACACACACACACACACAACCATACACATATACACACACAACCATACACACACACACACAACCATACACACACACACACACACACACAATCACTCAAACGTGTTCTTTTCCTTCAGGTCGTATCAAGGCGATCCAGTTGGAATACTCGGAGGCTCGACGCACTCTCACCAACGCTCTGAGGAAAGCTCCACAGCACACGGCCGTGGGCTTCAAACAGACGGTATGAACTTTGACCCCGACCCCCGACCCCTGACCCTGTACTCTTAAAACCGGGCCGAAGCTCAGGTCAGATGTTCTGACGCTGCTCTGGTCCTCAGGTCCATAAGCTGCTGATCGTGGTGGAGCTGTTGTTGGGGGAGATTCCAGACAGACTGCAGTTCAGACAACCGTCCCTCAAGAGGTCCCTGCACCCCTACTTCCTCCTCACACAGGGTAAGACCCGGGACCCGAGACCCGAGACCCGGGACCCGAGACCCGAGACCAAAAAAAAGTTTAACTTCCACTTTCTCATGATTGTTCTTCACTTGTGCCACAGTCGATTTGGCTGAAACCACCAGAGCTGCTATTAATGTCTCTCCTCCTCTTTCTCCTCCTCTTTCTCCTTCTCTTTCTTCTTCTTCTCTTTCTTCTTCTTCTCTTCAGCCGTGAGGACGGGGAATCTTTCGAAGTTTAATCAGGTTCTGGAGCAGTTCGGAGAAAAGTTCCAAACGGACGGAACCTACACCCTGATCATCCGCCTCCGGCACAACGTCATCAAGACAGGTACGAGTACTGCAAATACTACTACAAATACTGCTACAAATACTACTGCAAATACTACTGTTGGTGTAAATCCTCCTCAGAGCTTTTCACTGCTTTGAAGCAAATGAGTTGAAAAATCTGACTCAGGGGTCGAGGGCACTGAACACACCTGTCTCACCTGTCTCACCTGTCTCACCTGTCTCACCTGTCTCACCTGTCTCACCTGTCTCACCTGTCTCTGTCAGGTGTGAGGATGATGAGCCTGTCGTACTCGAGGATTTCTCTGAGCGACATCGCGCTCAAACTGCAGCTCGACAGTCCTGAAGACGCAGAGTTCATCGTGGCCAAAGTACGAACCGGGACTAAGGACTGGACCGTACAGGGACTGGACCAGGACTGGACCGTACAGGGACTGGACCAGGACTGGACCGTACGGGGACTGGACTATGGACTGGACCAAGGACGGGACCGTACGGGGACTGGACTAAGGACTGGACCAAGGACGGGACCATACGGGGACTGGACTAAGGACTGGACCAAGTCTAAACCAGCTTGACGTGGGTGTGTCCAGGCGATCCGAGACGGCGTGATCGAGGCCAGTATAAACCACGAGAAAGGATTTGTCCAGTCCAAAGAGACGATGGACATTTACAGCACCAGAGAACCTCAACTCGCCTTCCACCAACGCATCTCCTTCTGCCTGGACATCCACAACATGTCTGTGAAGGTAAGAACGTCCTCCACAACACGTCTGTGAAGGTAAGAACGTCCTCCACAACACGTCTGTGAAGGTAAGAACGTCCTCCACAACACGTCTGTGAAGGTAAGATTTGTGTTGGGACACATTTGCAGCTGAGGTCTGAGTAGAAAAGCTCAGTAGTACCGGGCTCACCCTGCAGGGGGCTCACTGTATGTTTTGTGTTTCAGGCCATGAGGTTTCCCCCCAAAGCCTACAACAAGGACCTGGAGTCTGCAGAGGTACGGGAGGGCATCAGGGCTAAAGGGAGGGCATCAGGGCTAAAGGGAGGGCATCAGGGCTAAAGGGGGAGGGCATCTGACTGAATGTTCTGTGTGTGTTGCAGGAGCGGAGGGAGCGGGAGCAGCAGGACCTGGAGTTTGCCAAAGAAATGGCCGAAGACGATGACGACAGTTTCCCCTGAGTCCCTGATCCTGGTCCTGGTCCTGGTCCAGGTCCAGGTCCAGACCCTAAACCTCGTGTTCCTTCTGAGTTTTGTTTTCTGAAATGTTCATGTAAAACTGAATAAATTCCTGCTTTTGTCTGAAAATTTTTGGGTCGTTTAATTTTGAGACGTTTCACTGAACCACGGACCTCACACGTTCACACCAGGACCTCACACCAGGACCTCACACGTTCACACCAGGACCTCACACCAGGACCTCACACGTTCACACCAGGACCTCACACCAGGACCTCACACGTTCACACCAGGACCTCACACCAGGACCTCACACGTTCACACCAGGACCTCACACGTTCACACCAGGACCTCACACGTTCACACCAGGACCTCACACCAGGGCCTCACACGTTCACACCAGGACCTCACACGTTCACACCAGGACCTCACACGTTCACACCAGGACCTCACACGTTCACACCAGGACCTCACACCAGGACCTCACACGTTCACACCAGGACCTCACACGTTCACACGAGCTCCTCTTTAAATGTTCCTCTGAACCTGAGATCTTCCATAAAACTGAGTCACGTTTCATTTTCTCCAGACTTTTTCATGTCCAGGTCTCGTGTTCCACAGCAGAAGCTCAGACTCAGATTCAGCCACATGTTTGAGTTTAGAACATTTCAGAAACAGATTTAAATAAAAGTGCAGCTCTGGGGCTCCTGAGGGGATCAGTCCTGAACTTTTACTTTTAATGTTTCATTTGCTCAAGAATCAGCCAGCGTCTCTATTTTTTAAGACGGCTTACGTCACATGGAGTTGACACCAATGTAATGCTGTTGTTTTATAAAACATGCATAGAATCTATCTTACGCTATGACATGTCAACATGGTTTGGTGACCTGTCAGTCAAACTTAAAGCACAGATTTTTACCTTGACTAAAAGAGCAGGTAAAATAATGGGTGTGGCCCCAAACTCACTTCAGCAAATTTTTGAGGAGACTGTGAGGAAACTCAGCAGGAAGGTGATCAATGACCCAACCCATGTTCTTCACAGTCAGTTTGAGTTGATGCCATCAGGCAGAAGGTTCAGGTCCCAAACTGTAAACTGAACAGATTCAAACATTCTTTTGTGCCACTAGCTGTTAAACTGCTAAACTCAGATAATGCAGTTAAAAAATAATTATAAAAGGCTTAGGGATTGTGCAATCAAAACTGCACATAGGCTAAGGGAATGTGCAATAATAACCAAAACTACACATAGGCTAAGGGAATGTGCAATAATAACTAAAACTGCACATAGGCTAAGGGAATGTGCAATAATAACTAAAACTGCACATAGGCTAAGGGAATGTGCAATAATTAATAGAACAGAAGAATGCAAGGGCCTGTTAAGGATAATTTAAGGTCCTGTTGGTGCATCACTCGTGGTCACACTTGGTCTCATATTTACTTTGTTTTATGGTGTTTGTTTATGTGCTGCTTTGTGTTGTGTCGTCCTGTTTTTTGATCAAACATGTGACCCTCTGTCCCAAGACAAATTTCTCCCATGGGAGACAATAAAGGATTATCTTATCTTATCTTATCATTTTACAAAAGTCTTTGAGACAAACTATTGATCCACAAGGGAAACGTGGCCGAGACCAGAGGAGGCGCTGTGGAGCTCCACAGGAGCTTCAGCTTTGTCTCTGTTCTTTGTCACGGGGAAAGTGGAGGAAACTTTTACCGTTTCTTTAACAAAGGGATTTCAAACAGGAGTGAAAAGCCACACCGGCTTGTAAAAGCCTGATCCCATCAGATCTCAGAAGCTCAGCAGGTCTGGGCCTGGGTAGGACTTGGATGGAGACACTGGGAGTTCCAGGTGCCACAGGAGGCGCCAGTGGCAAAAAACTGTTGTTGTGTCCTTAGGCAAGACACTTTACCCACATTGCCTAGTATGAAAGTGGTGTGAGCGTGAGAGATGGTGGTGGTCGGAGGGGCCGATGGTGCAGATTGGCAGCCTCACTTCCGTCAGTCTGCCTCAGGGCAGCTGTGGCTACAGTAGTAGTTTACACCACTGAGTGTGGAGTGACTGAATAATGAAGTGTAAAGCACTTTGTGGATCTTGAAAGGTGCTTTATAAATGCAATCAGTGGAAAGAGGGAGGAGGAAGAGCAGATCCTCGGGTCTGGGGCAGGTCCAGACCTTCTCTGGTTAATCCAGGTTTATCCAGGGGCGGAGCCTGGAGTTTCTCATGTTTCCAAACTCAGGAGTCTCTGCCCACAGGAGCCTTCCTCCTTCTTCTCATCCTCCTCTTCCTCCTTCTCTTCTTCCTCGTTCTCTTCTCGTCTGCATCAAACTGAACCTGTTTAAAACCTGAGTTCTTTAAAGATCCTCTGACGGGTTCAGACTCATGTGACTAAAACATTTCAGATCAGAACGAGTCACAGGAGCTTTACTCCAGGTTCTCCTGTGTGTGTGGAGTTTAAAAACACAGTGGAGCACTTCCTGTATCACCACATGATGACATCATCAGTTGGGACACGCGTCCGCGTCGATGAGCAGGAAAGGAACTTCCTAAACATGTATTCATTAAATTTTCCTAGAAACAGGATCTGAGTCGCAGAGCGTGACGTCTCACTGAAGTCCCCGAGCGACAAGTCTGTACAAGTACAAGTACACACACCGGGAAGTAGGGAAGTACTGCACAAAGTACTGCGCAGTAAAAGTACTCGGGCTTCTGGAGGAAGTGTGTGATGTGGATTTGTGCCGATGATGAAATGTGGGAAAACTCTGACGCAACTCTGACCGACTTCTGCTAAAGTACGAGAGTCTGTGTACTAATACTACATAATACTACTACTGCACAGTACTACTACTACTACTACTATACAGTACTACAACTACACTGTACTACTACTACAACCGCACAGTACTACAAATACACAGTACTACAGTGAAATGCCCTGCAGTCAAAAAGCTGCCTAAAAACAGGACTGAACCCGGACTTCAGAGGTCCAGGTCCGGGCCTGGTCCGGGTCTATATCGATATATATATCAATGTAATATATCGATATATATATCAATGTAATATATCGATATATATATCAATGTAATATATCGATATATATATCAATGTAATATATCGATATATATATTGTATATCGATATACAGGATATACGGACAGATGGATATTTGGACATATCTTATATACATATACATGTATATGTATATGTATCACTGGTTGTGTGTCGGGTCACTGGTTGTGTGTCGGGCCACTGTTGTGTGTCGGGTCACTGGTTGTGTGTCGGGTCACTGGTTGTGTGTCGGGTCACTGGTTGTGTGTCGGGCCACTGTTGTGTGTCAGGTCACTCGTGTGACATCAGTGTCAGATCACACCATCCATCAGTGTTTGAGCCAAAGTGTCTCAGTGCAGATGAACAAACCACAAAACTTCTGGGAGAATTTTCTTTGGACAGATGAGACAAAACTGAAGCGCTTTGGCAAGACACATCAGCTCTATGTTCACAGACGCAAACATGAAGCAGACCAAGAAAAGAACACTGTCCCCACTGTGAAGCACGGAGGAGGTTTGGTTTGGTTCTGCTGCATCAGGCTCAGGACGTCTTGAATCTGTGAAAAATACAACAGAATCTCAAAACTATCAAAGTGTTTTGGAACAAAATGTGTCGCCTCGTGTCAGAAAGTTTGATCTCAGTCGTAGGTCACGAGTCTTCAACAGGAAAATGACCCAAAACACACAGAGAAAAACACACAAGAACGACTAAGAACAAAACACTGGACTGTTCTGGAGCGTTCTTCTGTTCTGGAGCATTCTTCTGTTCTGGAGTGTTCTTCTGTTCTGGAGCGTTCTTCTGTTCTGGAGTGTTCTTCTGTTCTGGAGTGTTCTTCTGTTCTGGAGCGTTCTTCTGTTCTTTGTTCTGGAGCGTTCTTCTGTTCTGGAGTGTTCTTCTGTTCTGGAGTGTTCTTCTGTTCTTCTGTTCTGGAGCGTTCTTCTGTTCTTCTGTTCTGGAGCGTTCTTCTGTTCTGAAGCGTTCTTCTGTTCTGGAGTGTTCTTCTATTCTGGAGCGTTCTTCTGTTCTGGAGTGTTCTTCTGTTCTTTCTGAGCGTTCTTCTGTTCTTTGTTCTGGAGCGTTCTTCTGTTCTGGAGCGTTCTTCTGTTCTGGAGTGTTCTTCTGTTCTTCTGTTCTGGAGCGTTCTTCTGTTCTTCTGTTCTGGAGCGTTCTTCTGTTCTGAAGCGTTCTTCTGTTCTGGAGTGTTCTTCTATTCTGGAGCGTTCTTCTGTTCTGGAGTGTTCTTCTGTTCTGGAGCATTCTTCTGTTCTTTGTTCTGGAGCGTTCTTCTGTTCTGGAGCGTTCTTCTGTTCTGGAGTGTTCTTCTGTTCTGAAGCGTTCTTCTGTTCTTCTGTTCTGGAGTGTTCTTCTGTTCTGAAGTGTTCTTCTGTTCTGAAGTGTTCTTCTGTTCTGGAGTGTCTGTTCTCGTTCTTCTGTTCTTTGGTTCTGGAGCGTTCTTCTGTTCTGGAGCGTTCTTCTGTTCTGGAGTGTTCTTCTGTTCTTCTGTTCTGGAGCGTTCTTCTGTTCTTCTGTTCTGGAGCGTTCTTCTGTTCTGAAGCGTTCTTCTGTTCTGGAGTGTTCTTCTGTTCTGGAGTGTTCTTCTATTCTGGAGCGTTCTTCTGTTCTGGAGTGTTCTTCTGTTCTTCTGTTCTGGAGCGTTCTTCTGTTCTTTGTTCTGGAGCGTTCTTCTGTTCTGGAGCGTTCTTCTGTTCTGGAGTGTTCTTCTGTTCTGAAGCGTTCTTCTGTTCTTCTGTTCTGGAGTGTTCTTCTGTTCTGAAGCGTTCTTCTGTTCTGGAGTGTTCTTCTGTTCTTCTGTTCTGGAGCGTTCTTCTGTTCTTTGTTCTGGAGCGTTCTTCTATTCTGGAGCATTCTTCTGTTCTGGAGTGTTCTTCTGTTCTTCTGTTCTGGAGCGTTCTTCTGTTCTTCTGTTCTGGAGTGTTCTTCTGTTCTGGAGTGTTCTTCTGTTCTGGAGCGTTCTTCTGTTCTGGAGTGTTCTTCTGTTCTTCTGTTCTGGAGCGTTCTTCTGTTCTGGAGCGTTCTTCTGTTCTTCTGTTCTGGAGTGTTCTTCTGTTCTGGAGTGTTCTTCTGTTCTGGAGTGTTCTTCTGTTCTTCTGTTCTGAGCGTTCTTCTGTTCTGGAGCGTTCTTCTGTTCTGGAGTGTTCTTCTGTTCTTCTGTTCTGGAGCGTTCTTCTGTTCTGGAGTGTTCTTCTGTTCTGGAGGTGAAACAAGCGTCTGGAGAAGGAACCTTCAAACCTGAGACTAGAACAGTTTGTTCTCGTGGATCAAAATCCCAGTTGTCCAGAGCAGAAGTTTCACTCACAGTTACACAAATCATTTGTTTGTCTCAAAACTTGTGCAACAAAATATGAAGTTAAGGAAACATCATGTTTGTCCAGAACAGTTTCATTATTTAGTTTCTAATGATTCTGTTGAACCTCACATGAAAAACAATGTTTGATTTTTGTTGGACAATTTTAAGTAGATTTTTATTTATTATTGAAACTTTTATCAGTTTCAACTTATTTCAGTGAAAATTGTTGATTTTTCTTTCATTTCCAGAGGAACAGTTTTGTCCACGTCTGTGAACTTTTAGTTTTTATCAAGTCCTGATGCGTCCAGCGACAGACGAGCCCCGAGACACATGAAGTCCAACATCTACACAAGTGTGTACTCGAGTACATGAGTACAGGAATACTGCAGTACTGGAGTACTCATGTACTGGAGTATTGGAGTACTGCAGTACTGGAGTGTTGGAGTATTGGAGTATTGCAGTACTGGAGTACTTGAGTACTGGAGTATTGCAGTACTGGAGTACTTGAGTACTGGAGTATTGCAGTACTGGAGTACTCATGTACTGGAGTATTGGAGTACTGCAGTACTGGAGTACTCATATACTGGAGTATTGGAGTACTGCAGTACTGGAGTGTTGGAGTATTGGAGTACTGCAGTGTTGGAGTACTTGAGTACTGGAGTATTGCAGTACTGGAGTACTTGAGTACTGGAGTATATGTTGCATGTATAATTTTTATTATTATGTTTGTTTTTTCTTGCATGTATAATTTTGATGGCGTTGACAAAACCCGCGGTGACGCACGGTGACGCAGTGACGCAGGTGAAATCGCGGGTTTTTTCTCGGGATGAGTCGCGCGTGAGTCGGAATGGAAGCTCCGCCACGCGCCTCCAATAAAAACCCCACGAGCCCAATGGAAGCGCGAGCCTGTCCACGGCCACGCGCACCGAGATATGAGCACGAGCACAGGTGAGCGCGCACGCACAGACGCACTTCTCTCACGCACTTCGCACTTCTGCGCCTGTTCCCTGTCCCGGGACCGGACCGGGACCGGACCGGGTCTGGACCGGATCTGGACCGGGTCTGGACCGGGTCTCGGTCTGGTTCTGGTGAGTCCTAAACCTCCTCACAACTTTGTTTCCTTGTTTCCTCCTTTCCTTTCCTTGTTTCTTAGTTTTATCTCCTCGCGCGCTGTGGAATGACTGGAATCCACGGACACGGCGCGTCTCCAGTGCGCGTGCGCGGGTCACGGTTCTTTATTCTAACGCGCTCGCGCTCATGTCAAAGTGTCACGTTATAAACGTGTTTTTTTTACGCACGTGCGGCTTTTTGTGCTGCGTCACAGCGCGAGACCCGCGGGACCGAGGCTCTGAGCGCGAAGGTCACGAAGAACACGGACGAAGTACTTTTACTTCCTCTGAGAGTACTTTTACTGCACTACTTCTGAGAGCAGGTACATGTACTTTTACTGCAGTACTTCTGGGAGCAGGTACATGTACTTTTACTGCAGTACATTCAGAGTACAGTGTAGTAAAAGTATTTGTCGTGAGTTTATTTGGTCGTTTTTAGTTTTCATCAGATAAATACTTTGACTTTTTACTCTTTAAGTACTTTTTTACTTGGGTACTTTCATACTTTTACTTGAGTATTAGTAGTAGGTTTTTTTTTGTGAAGCGTCTTTGAGTGTCCAAAAGTGTGATTTAAGTCTGATGTATTATTATTAGTAGTAGTAGTAATAGTAGTAATAATAGTAGTAGTAGTAGTACTAGTAGTAGTACTTGTAGTAACAGTACTCTGTCGTGCAGTACCCCTCCTCCTGCTCCTGGCGGCGCTGGCGCACTCTGCCCCTGTCGGACCTTGGACCTCAGACCAGACTCAGATCCTGGTCCGGTCTCAGATGTTGGTCCAGAAGATCCTCCAGAGTCTGGTTCAGATCCACGCTCAGACCGTGACGTCATCAGGACTCACCTTTGACCCCTCAGGCCCCGCCCCCGAGCTGCAACTGATGATGTCACAGCTGCAGATCACGCCCCCTCCGGTCCCCAACCTGCTGTCGCCCACCTTCAGCCAGGTGAGTCCCGCACCTGCCCGCACCTGCCCAGACACCCGCCCAGACACCCGCCCGCACCCGCCCACACCTGCCCACACCCGCCCAGACACCCGCCCAGACACCTGCCCGCACCCGCCCACACCTGCCCACACCTGCTCAGACACCCGCCAGACACCCGCCCGCACCCGCCCAGACACCTGCCCAGACCCGCCCGCACCCGCCCAGACACCTGCCAGACACCCGCCCGCACCTGCTCAGACACCCGCCCACACCCACCCACACCCGCCCAGACACCTGCCCGCACCTGCTCAGACACCCGCCCACACCCGCCCAGACACCCGCCCGCACCCGCCCACACCTGCCCACACCGCCCAGACACCCGCCAGACACCCGCCCAGACACCTGCCCAGACACCCGCCCACACCCGCCCACACCCGCCCAGACACCCGCCCAGACACCTGCCCACACCCGCCCACACCCGCCCAGACACCCGCCCGCACCCGCCCACACCCGCCCAGACACCCGCCCACACCGCCCACACCTGCCCACACCTGCCCAGACACCTGCCCACACCTGCCCACACCTGCCCACACCTGCCCACACCTGCCCAGACACCTGCCCGCACCTGCCCAGACACCTGCCCGCACCTGCCCAGACCCCCCACACTCGCTCACACACTCACCCACAAGAGACTAGAGATGCGTGGACTCCGCGGCTAAACCGCGGACGACGTGATGAAAAATAATATTTTAATTCAATTCTGGCGGGTGGCGGTTTCACTACTCAACTAAAAAACTCTGAACTCGGAGCAAATGGGAGGAGAGCGAGCGGACGGCGGGCGGGTGCGGTTTTGAAAACTGGTTAAAAACTGTGGTTGCAAATGGACAGCGGGCGGATGATGAGTTTTACGACGCGTTGGCGGATGAAAAAGTCGCCCATCTCCGCGGATCTCAACAAGAGACCTGGTTCTGGTCCAGTTTAGACCTGTTTTAGACCTGGTTCTGGTCCGGTTTCAGGAGGACTGCGTGCGGTGGATGTGGGCGGGGCTGGAGCAGCAGCAGAGGATTGTGGGAGATCTGTCGTCCAAACTGAGCGCGCTCAGTGACCTGCACGCCGACCTGAGTGACCTGCAGGCCCAGACAGCTGAGGTGAGTCCTAACTCCTACCTCTTAACTCCTACCTCCTACATCCTAACCCCTACATCCTAACTCGTACATCCGAACTCCTACGTCCTACATCCTACCTCCTAACCCCTATATCCTACCTCGTAGCTCCTACCTCCTACTTTCTACCTCCTGCATCCTAACTCCTACCTCCTACATCCTAACTCCTGCATCTTACATTCTAACTCCTACTTCCTACGTCCTAGCTCCTATTTCCTACATCCTAATTCCTACGTCCTACATCCTAACTCCCACCTCCTACATCCCAACTTCTACTTCCTACATCCTAGGTCCTATCTCCTAGATCCTAACTCATACCTCCTACATCCTACCTCCTACATCCTACCTCCTACATCCTACCTCCTACCTCCTAGCTCGTGTCATGTGGGCGTGTCAAACTGAAGGTCACATGTTGTGTTTCAGATGATGTCATTGATGGGCGTGGTCATCTCTACGGTCCAATCAGGGAGCAGCATTCTGACTCGTCTCCACGGCGACTACGACACCGAGGTGGCCGTGCACCTGACGCTAACCACTCTGCGAGCGTTCTGCCACGACCTGAGCCGCGCCCTCCGCAAGCTTCCACAGGTCTGAGGGTCTGAGGTCCGGACCGGAACAAGACCAGAAGTGCTTTATGACTCGGTGCAGATCTTTACTCCAGATGCCCTTCCATCCTCACCCAGACTGCACCTGTGGGACGTTTGTGCCTTTGATTGTGTGATTGTATTTATGTATTTATTCAAATCAAAGATTTATTTATAAATTATTTATTTATTTATGTTCATATTTATGCAAATGAAGTTTTTTGTAATAAGTTTATTTTAATAAAGTCGTTTTTTTACACAAACATGTTTATGTGTTTACTCCAGATGCCCTCCCACGTTTCATCTCAGTGAAAAAACAAAACAAATAATCAGAACGAGGCGAGACTTTCAAAATAAAAGACACTTTATAAAACCCCCGCCACAATAAAATACATTTAACTCATAAAAAAATCTGTCACCACAAAACAACGAGAGGAAGAGGAGGAGGAAGAGGAGGAGGGGAGGAGGAAGGAAACAAAGGGAGGAGGTCAAAAGGTCGTATTTGTTCCTCTAGAAAATGCAGCTCTGACACTGAACAGAACTAAACCAGGTCTAAACCTGGACTAAACCTGGACTAAACCTGGACTAAACCTGGACTAAACCTGGACTAAACCAGGACTAAACCTGGACTAAACCAGGACTAACTAAACCACTAAACCAGGACTAAACCTGGACTAAACCAGGTCTAAACCTGGACTAAACCAGGACTAAACCAGGACTAAACCAGGACTAAACTAAACCAGGAAACCAGGACTCTAAACCAGGACTAAAGGGACTAAACCAGGTCTAAACCAGGTCTAAACTAACCAGGACTAAACCAGGTCTAAACCAGGAACTAAACCAGGTCTAAACCAGGTCTAAACCAGGAAAACCAGGACTAAAACCAGGACTAAACCAGGACTAAACCAAACCAGAACTAAACCAGGTCTAAACCAGGACTAAACCAGGTCTAAACCAGGACTAAACCAGGACTAAACCAGGACTAACCAGGTCTAAACCAGGACCCAAACTAAACCAGGACTAAACCAGGACTAAACCAGGACTAAACCAGGGACTAAACCAGGACTAAACCAGGAAAACCAGGACTAAACCAGGACTAAACCAGGTAAACTAAACCAGGACTCCAGGACTAAACCAGAACTAAACCAGGTCTAAACCAGGTCTAAACCAGAACTAAACCAGTCTAAACCAGGTCTAAACCAGGTCTAAACCAGGTCTAAACCAGGTCTAAACCAGAAACCAGGTCTAAACCAGGTCTAAACCAGGTCTAAACCAGAACTAAACCAGGTCTAAACCAGGTCTAAACCAGGTCTAAACCAGGTCTAAACCAGGTCTAAACCAGGTCTAAACCAGAACTAAACCAGGTCTAAACCAGGTCTAAACCAGGTCTAAACCAGGACTGAACCAGGTCTGGTGTTTCTGTTGGTTCAGGTTTTCCCAAAAACAAAAGTTAATTTCAAAGTTTTTTTACCCAAAGTTTATTTTGTTCCTTTAGTGTCCTTAGCATATGTCCTTTCCTAAGGCCTCGTGTCCTTTCCTTTTGATTCCTGTGTTCTTTTTTGTCGCTTTATTCTGAAGGAGTCCAAGTGCTTTTATTGTGAAGGGCCAGTAGTTCACAGCTTTTATTGTGAAAGGGGAAACACGGCAATTTCATGGTGAGGCCGGACTCTTATTGTGACGGGGTGTGACACCGTGAAGGCGACGGCGTCACGACATCACCGCGGCGTCGAAAAGCGCCGGCCCCTCCTTCAGCGTGGTGATGGTGGTGATGGCGTGGCCGGTGTCACGGCAGCGTCACGGCGGCATCACGGCGGCGTGATGATGTCACGGCGGCGTGATGATGTCACGGCGGCGTGATGATGTCACGGCGGCGTGATGATGTCACGGCGGCGTGATGAACAGCGCCGGTCCCTCCCGCAGCAGCAGTTCGATGATCTGACTCTGGAAAACCATGTGCACCGTCAGGTTGGACTCCACCTGTGGGCGGAGCAACGTGGGACCGAAGACGATCGCCAAACTCTGACACGACATCCGGTTGTGCTCGCCGTGCTCCACCACCCTGAAAGTACAAGTACTATTACTACAAGTACAAGTACTACTACAAGTACAAGTACAAGTACTGTTACTACAAGTACAAGTACTGTTACTACAAGTACAAGTACAAGTACTGTTACTACAAGTACTGTTACTACAAGTACAAGTACAAGTACTACAAGTACAAGTACTGTTACTACAAGTACAAGTACAAGTACTGTTACTACAAGTACAAGTACTACAAGTACAAGTACTGTTACTACAAGTACAAGTACTGTTACTACAAGTACAAGTACAAGTACTACAAGTACAAGTACAAGTACAAGTACAAGTAGTCTCTCAGACTCTTGAGCCTGGGTTTTCCAGGTGAGTCGTGGTTCTGTTTGTAGATTTGTCTCTGGTTCAGCGGCTGAAACGACGTTATAAAACAAACAGGAGTCTGAAGCTGCTGGAGCTTCTGGAGACAGAACATCACGGTGCAGGATCCTCCTGAGGCTGAAGCTGAAGCTTCGCACAAACCTTCTACTGGGCCTTAAATAAAATTCAGTAGAAACGTCTCCAGAAGATCAGAGCCACCTGAAGACGGCTCCTCAAACACTGAACGAGACTGAACGTGTTTGAGGAGCCTTCAGCCCTGGACGCTCCAGATGGACGGAGGTGGACACGTCCATGTCCCAACGAGGAGGCAGAGTCGTGTTTTGGGCCGGAATCATGGGGAGAGAAGTCGGCCTCTTCAGGCTCCCTGAAGGTGAGAACGTGACCTCTGTAAAGGTCTGACCACGTTCTTCCACGGTACAAAAAGAACTGAGTTTTCCGTAGCAGAATCATCTTCAGCAGGACAAAGCTTCATCTCCTGCTGCAGGAGTCCCTCTGCTTCACGTGTGGCTCCATCCTCCCCTGAGCCAAACCCTCCTGAGAAACTCTGGAGCCTCAAGCCAAAGATCTGAGAGCAGGAGGCAGGTCACGTCCAAACAGAAGATCCTGCAAACAAACTCAACAAACTCTCCTCAAACTCTCCTCAAACTCTCCTCAAACTCTCCACTCTCCTCAAACTCTCCTCAAACTCTCCTCAAACTCTCCTCAAACTCTCCAAACTCTCCACAAACTCCCCAAACTCTCCAAAACTCTCCACAAACTCTCCTCAAACTCTCCTCAAACTCTCCAACCAAACTCTCCACAAACTCTCCTCAAACTCTCCTCAAACTCTCAACAAACTCTCCTCAAACTCTCCTCAAACTCTCCTCAAACTCTCCTCAAACTCTCCAAACTCTCCTCAAACTCTCCACAAACTCTCCAAACTCTCCTCAAACTCAACAAACTCTCCTCAAACTCAACAAACTCTCCTCAAACTCTCCTCAAACTCTCCACAAACTCTCCTCAAACTCAAACTCTCCACAAACTCTCCTCAAACTCTCCTCAAACTCTCCACAAACTCTCCAAACTCTCCAAACTCTCAAACTCTCCTCAAACTCTCAAACTCAAAACTCTCCATCTCCTCAAACTCTCCTCAAACTCTCCTCAAACTCTCCTAAACTCTCCTCAAACTCAAACTCAAACTCTCCCACAAACTCTCCAAACAAACTCTCCTCAAACTCAACAAACTCTCCTCAAACTCAAAAAACTCTCCTCAAAAAAACTCTCCACAAACTCTCCTCAAACTCTCCTCAAACTCAACAAACTCTCCACAAACTCTCCACAAACTCTCCTCAAACTCTCCACAAACTCTCCCTCAAAACTCTCCTCAAAACTCTCCACAAACTCTCCACAAAAACTCTCCTCAAACTCAACTCTCCACAACTCTCCTCAAACTCTCCTCAAAACTCTCTCAAACTCTCCAAACAAACAAACTCTCCTCAAACTCTCCTCTCCTCAAACTCTCCTCAAACTCTCCTCAAACTCTCCTCAAACTCAAAAACTCTCCTCAAACTCTCCTCAAACTCAACAAACTCTCCTCAAACTCTCCTCAAACTCTCCTCAAACTCAACAAACTCTCCTCAAACTCTCCTCAAACTCTCCACAAACTCTCCTCAAACTCTCCTCAAACTCTCCACAAACTCTCCTCACAAACTCTCCACTCTCAAAACTCTCCAAAAAACTCTCACAAACTCTCCAAACTCAAACTCTCAACAAACTCTCCTCAAAACTCTCAACAAACTCTCCTCAAACTCTCCTCAAACTCTCCTCAAAACTCTCCTCAAACTCTCCTCAAACTCTCCTCAAACTCTCCAACAAACTCTCCTCAAACTCTCCACAAACTCTCCACAAACTCTCCTCAAAAACTCTCCACAAACTCTCCTCAAACTCAACAAACTCTCCTCAAACTCTCCTCAAACTCTCCACAAACTCTCCTCAAACTCTCCACAACTCTCCTCAAACTCTCCTCAAACTCTCCACAAACTCTCCTCAAACTCTCCTCAAACTCTCCTCACAAACTCTCCACAAACTCAACAAACTCTCCTCAAACTCTCCTCAAACTCTCACAAACTCTCCTCAAACTCTCCTCAAACTCTCCTCAAACTCTCCTCAAACTCTCCTCAAACTCAACAAACTCTCCTCAAACTCTCCTCAAACTCTCCTCAAACTCTCCTCAAACAAAACTCTCCTCACAAACTCTCCTCAAACTCTCCTCAAACTCTCCAAAAACAAACTCTCCTCAAAACTCTCCTCAAACTCTCAACAAACTCTCCTCAAAAACTCTCCTCAAACTCTCCTCAAACTCTCCTCAAACTCTCCTCAAACTCTCCTCAAACTCAACAAACTCTCCACAAACTCTCCACAAACTCTCCAAAAACTCTCCTCAAACTCAACAAACTCTCCTCAAACTCTCCTCAAACTCTCCTCAAACTCTCCTCAAACTCTCTCAAACTCTCCTCAAACTCTCCTCAAACTCTCCTCAAACTCAACAAACTCTCCACAAACTCTCCTCAAACTCTCCTCAAACTCAACAAACTCTCCTCAAACTCTCCTCAAACTCTCCTCAACAAACTCTCCTCAAACTCTCCTCAAAAACTCTCCTCAAAAACTCTCCTCAACTCTCTCTCTCCTCAAAAACTCTCCTCAAAACTCTCCTCAAAAACTCTCCTCAAACTCTCCTCAAACTCTCCTCAAACTCAACAAACTCTCCTCAAACTCTCCTCAAACTCTCCTCAAACTCAACAAACTCTCCTCAAACTCTCCTCAAACTCTCCTCAAACTCAACAAACTCTCCTCAAACTCTCCTCAAACTCAACAAACTCTCCACAAACTCTCCTCAAACTCTCCTCAAACTCTCCTCAAACTCTCCTCAAACTCAACAAACTCTCCCAAACTCTCCTCAAACTCTCCACAAACTCTCCAAACTCTCCAAAACTCTCCTCAAACTCTCCTCAAACTCTCCTCAAACTCTCCTCAAACTCAAAAAACTCTCCTCAAACTCTCCTCAAACTCTCCTCAAACTCTCCTCAAACTCAACAAACTCTCCTCAAACTCTCCTCAAACTCTCCAAACTCTCCAAACTCTCCTCAAACTCTCCTCAAAACTCTCCTCAAACTCTCCTCAAACTCTCCTCAAACTCTCCTCAAACTCTCCTCAAACTCAACAAACTCTCCACAAACTCTCCTCAAACTCTCCTCAAACTCTCCTCAAACTCAACAAACTCTCCACAAACTCTCCTCAAACTCTCCTCAAACTCTCCAAAACTCTCCAAACTCTCCTCAAACTCTCCTCAAACTCTCCTCAAACTCTCCTCAAACTCTCCTCAAACTCTCCTCAAACTCAAACTCTCCTCAAACTCTCCTCAAACTCTCCTCAAACTCTCCTCAAACTCAACAAACTCTCCACAAACTCTCCTCAAACTCTCCTCAAACTCTCCACAACTCTCCAAACTCTCCTTCAACTCAAACTCTCCAAACTCAAACTCTCCTCAAACTCTCCTAAACTCTCAAACTCCCTCAAACTCTCCTCAACAAACTCTCCTCAAACTCTCCTCAAACTCAAACAAACTCTCCTCAAACTCTCCTCAAACTCAACAAACTCTCCTCAAACTCTCCTCAAACTCTCCTCAAACTCAAAACTCTCCAAACTCAAAACTCTCCTCAAACTCTCCTCAAACTCTCCTCAAACTCTCCTCAAACTCTCCTCAAACTCAACTCTCCTCAAACTCTCCTCAAACTCTCCTCAAACTCTCCTCAAACTCTCCACAAACTCTCCTCAAACTCAACAAACTCTCCTCAAACTCAACAAACTCTCCTCAAACTCTCCTCAAACTCTCCTCAAACTCAACAAACTCTCCAAACTCTCCAACAAACTCAACAAACTCTCCTCAAACTCTCCTCAAACTCAACAAACTCTCCTCAAACTCTCCTCTCCTCAAACTCTCAACTCAAACTCTCCTCAAACTCAACAAACTCTCCTCAAACTCTCCACAAACTCTCCTCAAACTCTCCTCAAACTCTCCTCAAAACTCTCCTCAAACTCTCCTCAAACTCTCCTCAAACTCTCCTCAAACTCAACAAACTCTCCTCAAACTCAACAAACTCAAACTCCACAAACTCTCCTCAAACTCAACAAACTCTCCTCAAACTCAACAAACTCTCCTCAAACTCTCCTCAAACTCTCCTCAAACTCTCCTCAAACTCCGGAGTCCAGAGGATGAAGAAGTGTGAAGCTCCTGTGTTCAGATGGAACTGGAGCTGCTCAGATGTTTGGACTGAAACATCTTTGGATTTCAGTAAAATACTTAAACTTCTGATTGAAAAAACACGTGACCATTTTGAGTTTTGTACAACAGTGAGGTTCAGGGTTTAAACTCTCGTGCAGAATCTTGTGGAACATTTGAAGTTTGTATTTTTATGATTTAACTTCAGTTTCATTTGGAGTTTTTGTTCAGAAACTTTCGATTTGTTCTAAAAGTTGAGGACGAGAAAATTATGAAGATTCATTTAAATCGACAATTTGGCAAAATCAGAAAAAAAATTATTTCCATCAGAATTTGGAACACAGTGGAGTAGTATCTGAAGTATTTGTGGTAGTGTTTGTGGTAGTATTTGTAGTATTAGTAGTATTTGTAGTATTAGTAGTATTTGTAGTATTTGTAGTATTAGTAGTATTAGTAGTATTAGTAGTATTTGTAGTATTGTAGTATTTGTAGTATTTGTAGTATTTGTAGTATTTGTAGTACTGACCGGTGCAGGTGTTTGAAGAGCAGCTCCATGGTGCTGTGGTTCGGCAGAGGAAGATTCTGAAGCAAATCTTTAATGTAGGAAACTCTCTGAGAGTACTGCGGTAACTCTGAAACACAAATACACAAAGTACTATTACTACTACTACTACTA